TTCAACGCAATAAGGTATCGATTAAGTTATGCCCACAACCACCTAAGGTTTTCAAACAGCTAAATCAATTCAATTACCAACTCTTGGCACCCAATAAGTCAAAACACAACTTTAACTTACTTACTGCCATCGTCCCCCGCAAAGCCCTATTCAACTTTTCTATCATATCTCAAGAAGTGATTTTGAATATACTAAAGTCCGATTGTTATCCCTCAGATCAAACTCCAGTATCCTTAATCCCAGAACCATTCTCTAACCTAATAGTCCTAAACTCCACACCCCCACCCGAAGCAAATCCCCAACCAATCTCTAGCTAATAAAGACCTTCTTAGCCACTCCGGTTTATTGTAGTCCCATTAAAATGCATGTATATAGTGTAACAAGACGAAACAATCATGAATATCAACATTGGTCTTGGGTTGTTATACAATATTGTTGTATCCTATTGTGTTGAGTTTGGGTTAGTATTGAGTTGGTATAACTTAAGTTCTCTTTATTGTACGTCATCTTGAGATCTAATTCACATACTCAGATTATAAATACTAATCTGAGCTTATGATTTCTAATTCGAGATTTTACTCGCACTTGCTACAATCAGTACCAAGCCGATAAACATCACAACACTACACTCCTCTACATAACTCACTTGAAACTACTAACTCAATACGAACATCACATTAACCAATTTAATTTTACATATTTTATCTATAATTTGATATGACGTCATCTTTATTTCAACCCAACCATATTTATATAATAAAAAACACCACCTAACCCAATAGGAGTTATGTTTTAGTTGAGGTGAGGTGAGGTGAGGTGAGTTAAGTTAAGATTAAGTTAAGTTGAGTTGAGTTAAGTTAAGATATGCTGATTAGTTTAACTCAACTAAACCTAACCCAATACTAAACCAACTCAATACCAACTCAATACTAAACCAACTCAATACCAACCTAAACCAACTACTAACTCAATCTATAACCATCTTTATTTGTTAACTTACTCAACTTACTCAATCTAATCTAACACAACTCCAAACTCCACTCCACCTAATGCAAAACCCGAATGACTAACGAACAAGAAGGACACCGAGCAGCTTCTTCTCCATTCTCAAGTTCTTCTCCAGTAATAGTAAAGTAATCCCCACAAGGACAAGGAAAAGTATAAACATCCCTTTCTAAATCATAGATAAATTCATCGATATCTCTTTCTTCGAAATATTCAGAAGAGTCCATATTAAAACTTTATTTTTTAGCTAAGTTATGCTTGATAAGTGGATAGCGCAATTAATGGACTGTAATCCTTTGTCTGAAAGTGAAGTAAAAGACTTATGTACAATGGCTATTGCTGTGTTTCAAAAAGAGAAAACTTTAATTTCTCTTAAAGCTCCAATTACTATCTGTGGTGACGTTCATGGCCAATTTTTTGATTTGATTGAACTATTTAAGATAGGAGGATTTCCTCCTGAAACTCCTTATCTCTTTATGGGTGATTATGTAGATAGGGGATATAATTCTGTTGAGACTTTAAGTCTTTTACTATGTTTAAAGGTTAAGCATCCTGAATCAGTAGGTATGTTAAGGGGTAACCATGAGAGTAGGCAGATAACTCAAGTTTATGGCTTTTATGATGAGTGCTTTCGTAAGTATGGCTCAGCTAATGTTTGGAAGTATTTTACTGATCTTTTTGATTATTTACCTTTGGCGGCTGTAGTTAATGATGACGTATTTTGTTTACATGGGGGGTTAAGTCCGGCTTTGAATACGTTAGATGAGATTAGGGATATTAATCGGGTGCAGGAAGTACCTCATGAAGGAGGGATGTGTGATTTGTTATGGAGTGATCCTGAGGAGAGGAAAGGTTGGGGGGCATCACCACGTGGGGCTGGTTATACTTTTGGTGAAGATATTACTGAGCAGTTTACTAAACGGAATGGTTTGAAAATGATATGTCGGGCCCATCAGTTAGTGATGAATGGACATAATTGGAATCATCATAAGGGGGTAGTAACTGTATTTTCAGCTCCTAATTATTGTTATCGTTGTGGGAATTTAGCCTCTTTACTGGAAATGGATGAACATGGTGGGTACCAATTTGCCCAATTTGAATCATCACCCGATCAAATTCAAGATAGAACTGTGCAAAAAGTGCCTAATTACTTTATGTAAGGTTTGATAGTGATAGTCCTTGGTTCAGGTAGACCCGGCCTTGAACTAGTGTTTAGAATAAATAGCAACCTTTTGGGTTAGTATTGAGTTGAGTTATGTTATGTTTAGGTGTTGAGTTGAGTTAGATTAGATTTAGATTTAGATTGTGTTCTGTTATATTGAGTTTTGGGTTGTGTTGAGTTAGTTTAAGTTACGTATTGGGTTGAGTTGAGTTAGTTTTGAATTGGATTAGATTAGATTTAGATTGTGTTGGTATTGAATTAGATTTAGATTCTGTTACGTATTGAATTAGATTAGATTAAGTTACGTATTGTGTTGGTACGTGTTTGTCTTTTGTGAAATAGAATGCAATATAACTGCCTTAACTAACTTGTGCTTACTAGGCAAGTAGGCCGGATATTGAAAGCGATAGTTATATTAGATAAACTTAAATGGGTTAGTATTGGTTTAGTCAATAAATGAACATGTAAATGACCTTTTATTATAGTTGGATTAGTTGGGAGTTGGAGTTCTTAGGTTGGCAACGAAATAGTAGATACGGCCGAAAATATCCTTGGAATACTTGCTGGGATCGATGGTGCTGGGATTGAAGTTGGCGTTGCTGAACGTGCCATTGTTGATCATAATTAGAATGGCGGTAGAGGCAATTCCGGCGAAGGCGAAAAGAGTAAGAGCGGCTAGAATGGTGGCTTGGTGGTGGAGAAGGAAGGAAACTAGTTTGGATTTTGGTTGGGGTTTTGGGAGAATTCGTGGTCGTTTGCTCTGGAAGACAGTGAAGAAGTTGAAGAATATACTGATGATGGAAATGATAAGGGATCCAATTAGGATATAAATAGAAGTGAAGTGAATATCGGTTCTGTAGTTTTTGAGATAGTTGCCTAGAAGGGCTAAAGCCAGAATGGTTATGGATAGATTGACAATCGTATGGATGGTGGGTAGTTTGTCCTTGAGAGTTTCCTTTTTGCCGTTAAGTGGTATTAGATGGCCAAAGATAGTGGCTAGAGCGAATCCTAGAACTACGGTGGTGCGGAGGCAGCCACGTTCTAATGTACCGGGTGTTATGATATTGTCGAACCAGGAATTTAGAACGGTGCTACCAATAGCTCCATCAAAGAGGGCACAAATTAAGACTAGGAAGCACATTCCAGCGGCAATACCTAGAATCCATAAATGGACTGAGCGGCGGTAATCTTCTGGGAAGACTTTTTGGCGGTTGGTTTTGAGAGTGAATGCTTGGGAGAAGATAAGTAGAATAGATGAGAGAGCAAAGAGAAGCATAAAGTTCTGGGCTAAAGTTTCTGAGGCGGTGAGATTAGCTGGCTGGGTATTAGCAAATGCAAAGAGTCCGAAGAGTGATATAAACACTAACAAGATACCCTTTAGAGTTTTGAGCCACTTCTGGTTGAAAGGCATGAGTACTAACCCAATAGCAACTAGTGCTAGCACAATCGGTGAAATAATCAAATACCCGGTACCAAACGCATCAAGGGCGCCAAAAGCAAACAGAGGATGAAGTATGTTAACGAATGCGCCGATTAAAAAGATAGAGACAGTGGCGATAGCTGTTTTTCGAAAGAACATGCCTGTTAGGTATAGCCATCGCGCTCCTTGGGCTTGGTCGCGCTTTTGGATTTCTTCCTCTTGGACTATCTCCCATACCTCTTCTACAGTCAGGGGAACCGCGGTAAGAGTTTTGTCGGGATTGACCATGAATGCAAAGCATTGCATATCTTGGTTTAGATTTTCCTCAATTGCAACGAATTCTTTGTCCTTTGCAACTAGGGTCTCTGATACGACTTGGAGTTTTCCTTTTGTTTTGATTTTTGGGTCAGCTTCAGATTGCACAGCACCTTCAGTTTCGGTATTAGAATCAGTTTTTGTCTGGGACTTGGTACGGGTGGTCGGAACTTCCTTGTCCACAACAGCCTTGACCTCTTCACTAGTGATAGGAATAGGGGCAGGTACAGGCATCTGCTCAGCCGGAACTGGGTTGGTGATTGGGGCGGTAATAGGAGCGGCAATAGGAACTGGAGTGGTAGTTTGGCTTATTTCGGGTGCTTGATTGGGTATAATAGGCGTAACAGTTGGGCTAGTTGGGGCATTTGGTATGGGCTCAGTTGGGGTAGCTGCCGATGGAGTGTTGTTATTGGGACTAGTTTCTTTCTCTGATATGGGTTTAGGCCTATTTTCGTACTTAAGAGGCATAGCCCAGTTTTGGTTCATTGGCGATAGTAAAGATAGTTTGTCTACACCTGGAATTGGGGTCTCTCGTCTGATAGTGAGTGCTGTAATCAAAGGAATCAGCAAAAAGCCAATTACAAACACATTTGATCTCCGCATAGTGAAAAAAGAGGGGCGGACTAAATAGCTTCTACCCAATTTGACCGCTTTCATCACATAGGTAATAAAGCTTCCTTTTTAGGAAGGATTACGTCATATTTAAAATAGTATGACGTAATTTAGCTGAGTTTGTTAATTTGAAATTGGTTTTCTAATTGAGATTAATTAGATCATTGGGTTAGTATTGAGCGGGTTTACGTTTCTAGGGGTGAATAGGAGCCAATCAGAGGGTGGTTTAAGGGGTAAAGCCGAATGAACAACTAAAATGAGTCGAATTATGACAACTCACAATAGTCAGATAAAAATAAACCTATTGGGTTAGTATTTGGTTAAGTTGAGTTAAGTTGAGTTGGATTGGATTGAGTTGAGTTAGATTGAGTTTATTTATTGGATTGGTGCTTAGTGGGTAAATAGCACGCTCTATTGCATTCTTATTGAAATTTGAATTGCCTTCCTAGTTTAAGCTGGCATTATTAGCAATTGAATTAAATGATTATTCATCATTATGATTGACTTGTTGGGAATATTCCTTCTTTCATTCAATAAACACTAGCATCCTTCTCTTCCAGGACATAGATCCCCTTCTTAGTCTAGTATTAACTCAAGAGTTCATGTAAATATACTCAACCTAATACCAACCCCATCTTATCTCAACTTATCTCAACTTAGTGCTAACTCAATAGTGACTTAACTAAATTTAATCTCAACCCAACACTAAAGTCAAACTGATAAGTTTATTCTCGGATTTTTCTATATTTGGGCTGTATTTTTACCTAATATGGTAAGGTTGTGACTTCGTATAGATATAAAAATGAAATTTCAGCAAGATAGATATGCTACTAACTAGAGTCTTGGCCTTGCTTATGCTAGCCCATAATAGCCGGTCGTCGCAAATGTCTGGCGACCTATCTGCATTTATCAAGGATGAGATTATCCATGGGGCAGAGAACGCCTATAACCGACCCCAATCTCAGGCCGTAATCCCAGAAAAGCCACTTCGATCACGCACAGGCCAACTTAATGGGATTGCCGAGGCCGAATATGCCAGTGAGGAGGAGACAACGACACATTCAGATAACCAGATCGAAGAAAACAATGAGGGCCGTGCTGCTTTGACATCAACACCCTCAGTACTAAACATTCCAGATGCCATCGTGCGAGAGGAGAGATCACCGAAAGGGTACTCGACTGCTTATGGCTGGGAACTTCGGTCAATTTGTCCGAACTTTAATGGTAAGCCTACTCGCCGATCCTGGACTGACAGTCACAAAAGCGAGAACGCAACTACTTCTAATGTCCTACCCATGGCGTTGCTTCCTTGGGCCTGGTTCGATAAACACTCTAGCAATAACCTCTTGCAAAGTATTCAAGTTACAGGCCTTAACACGGCGTTTTGTGCTGCCCCGGGTAAAGAATCTCTGGACCTCATCGATGCGGTTGACTTGACTCTTTTTAATAGCCATATCGAGAACACTCTCCGGACATTCAGCAGCGAAAACAATGTGATCTTTTCTCCCAGCATTATTGATCAATTAGTGAAATGTGCCAAGCTCGAAAGGCTTGTAATAGACAACTCGCAATGGAAGCACCACTTAGAAACTCCGTCTGATTATTGGAAGAACACTCACATCCCGGTCGTCCTGGAAACCATCCTCAAGTCTCTCCAGCGACTGCACACTCTTGCTCTAATTAACTTTGGAACGCTAAACATTGATGCAACTGCCAATGAAATCGACAGATCGACCAATTCCATTGTTATATCCAGTCCAGCGATCCAAAACCTTCATCTTGACCTCAGCTTGCCCCCACAGAAATGCCGGCTGGTTTTACGTGACTGTACTAAGCTTGAAACTGTTATTATTGGCCCAAACAATGATTTCACTGACATCAGGTATGAGCTAAACTCGTCTCTCCATCACAGTGCTAATTTGTACCTTCAAATACGAAGTTATCACGCCACTCAAGTACCAACTATTCTTTTCTCCCTCCCCGACCTCACACTAGCCCTTGATTTCCCCCAATTAGATGCATCTACTGTCCGCTGCAATATTAGCGAATACACCTCCATTAGCATCGACCCTTCTTCCAACCAGCCAATCTTTAAGCTTGGTCTTGACAGCTACCTCAACCACATTATCAATAGTGCTTATTGGCGCTACCGCCGAGCAGCCCGGAAGAACCCGATAGAGATAGACGTCCGCGCACCTAATAATCCCCTCTTATCACAACACTGCCGCCCTCTAACTCTATGGGAAAGACTTGTCCCCGCCATGCGCCGGTACAACGGCGGCACTGAGAACATTAATTCAACTCTTCTGCCCTTCATTGACTTTATTGAAACCGACCAAAAGATCTATATCAACACTCCACAAACCCGGACTCTCTACCCGGCATATAAAACCGACGCCGGCGCGATCACTACCTTCGTCTTATTAGACAACGAAGTCAACGAACTCTGGGCCTTCTTTTTCGAAACCGCCAGCACGCATGCTCAAATTATCCAAATCACCGGATCCACCAAGGAATCCGACGACTCCCGTACGCCGTTCAAAAACATTCCCTTCGCTCAAAAGCGCACCGCTCTACTCAAAATCCACACACTCCAAATCACCACCTACCGGCAAATGAACCCCACCACCCGATCCACGCCCACCAAAATACCCCCGTGCATCTATAAACTCTACTGCCTTGACACTCTTATTCTAATCGACTGCCACTTCAGCAACTTGCTCGAAGTCCTTCTCAAATTCCCAGACCTCCAGAATTTCCGACTACTAGGCGAGTGCATCTATGACCACATGAACACTCCCTTCGCCACTACAATTATCAACAAATTGAGCCCTGCCGCTATTATGCCCGACAAGAGCATCACCGAGCAATTAGCCCGTGGCCAAGTTCTAACTCCCACCAGTGAACTAAGTGTCCAAGAATTCGAGTCCAATAGCTACTCCGATGATTCGGTCTACCATGCCAGCAATGAAATCCCCACTGGCAACTAGTCAATATCCTAACTCAATCCTAACTCAATACTAACCCAACCACTATCTTACTCCACCTCTAGCACCACAATTCAATAAAGGTTATTTGGCAACAACTAACATAACATAACGCAACTCAACCCAATACTAACGCAACTCAACCCAATACTAACGCAACACAACCCAATACTAACTCAACCCAACCCAACCCAATACCAACTCATCCAATTATATTTACGGGAATACCTACTTCTTTATTTACTGCTATCACTACCTTTAACCAACTTACTTGATTTAAAAACCAAAATCATAATATTAGAGATTTTGATCTGAAGAAAAGACTTCTCAGCCACTGAACAACTCCCAGAAAAACTCTCCCCCATAATAACATTCCAACCACTTCCAAACTTCCGATCCAACAAGTCCTTTATCTTCTTGGAGTACTTCTTCACATTAGTCAAGTCGTCCGCATTCATACAAATATCAGCTACTTCAGATTGAACATCCTCAGGAATATCCTTAGTAATTACTTCAATCTTCTTGTCACTCAGTACATCCTCCTTCTCCACCATTGACTAAACCAATCCCAACCTATTTCTAACCCACCCTGAAACACACCCAAAACATATAAAGCATCAGACTAATCTCCAAACCATGAAGCGTAAAAGATCAACACCAAATGAGAGACAAAAACCCTTCAGTAAGCTCCTCCAATACATCCGCCATATTTCTCTCCTCTGCTACTACCGCTACTCCGTTGAAATCGGTATCTCAACTATGGAGGGCTGGGAAGCTTTTATTGTTAACTCCATTTTCCTCCTCCTACTTGTCTCCATCCTGAAACAAGCAACCAAAGGTATAATCATCCTTTCCTCCTTTATTCAAACCTCTTTCCCTTCCCTATCAACTCTCCCAGCCTTTATCTCTAACTATTGGCCATCTTAAGCAATCTACAACGTAAATTTTTCCATGCGTCCCGCCCGGCTGAAACAGATACGCAAACTTGTGCAACGCCTTACCAAAAACGGCTTTAGACCTCCTTATAACATCTTAGCCGATCACTACTTCCTTTCTAGTTTTAATTCTACCCAAATGTCGCCTAAAGTTCTTGAACATATTCTGAATGGTCCCATCAAACTCTATACAACCCATTGTGAGTACAAGAAGTACAAAGAGGCCGTTAAAGACCGAAAGCTTATCGGATGCGTTGATGTTAAGAAGTGCACTCATAAAGACTTTCGAACTCTTGAATGTTTAGCCGAAACTATTCAGCCTAATAATCCCAATCATTACTTTGTAGCTGTTTCGCCTAAATACCGCCACTTAAAGGAAGACCAGAACCTTCCTCTTATCTTCCTTAGAGCCGGCGTTCTTTGTGTTGAAATAGGCCAAAAGGCCACTGAAGACCTTCGTCAAAAGGAGCTTGCTCCAGGCCTTTCAGATCAGGAGAAGGCTAAGCTTGAAGCTCTTTTCCAATAAATACATCTACTAGACCAATCAGTAACCCAATAAATTGAATTTCAATATCACATAAGTACTACTTGATAGATATCACATAAGCAGTTGTAGTTCTAGATATAATAGAATTGAGTTGAGTTAAGTTAGTATAAGGTTGGTATAGTATAGGATATGATTGGCATCTAATCTTATTCAAATCCTAACTCAAATCCTAACTCAACCCCAACTCAACTCTATTGGGTTAGCCGTCAAACTGCACGCTTAGTCCTAGAAAGTATAGTTCTGCTGATTATTGGGGGTTGAGGAGGTAGTGGGTTGGCTGGTTAGTAAAATGAGCACGGAGAAGTATTGGGCGGGGAAATATCCGAATCACTGGAGTCGGACATATTTATGATTGTGGGACAAGGGGGGATGTTTGGTCTGTTTGGATCTAACCCGATTGGGTCACTTTGTGAGTCAGATGTGCTTGAATCGGAGTCTTCATGGGTGTAGTGCTCATTGGGTACGAGGTATGGGAAACAGGCAAGAACTTTACTGGCACTGGGCGTAATACTGGGATTGCGCTGGGCTTCTTGCTCGAAGGAAATAGTTATCTTGTTGGGCTTAATATAACATTGAGCTGCTCCTTTCTTAGTAGAAGGATTGGAACAGATAAGTGAGAGTCCTCTAGGAGAGGCAAGTAGTTGGGCTTGAATGGCGTGGGTTAAGTGGCTGGAAATCTTGAGAGAGACATCGACTAGATTGAGTTTGGGAAGGTATACTGTTTGGTTGAGATCAAAGGTGGCATAGAATATTAGAATGTCCAAAGATAAAGTTAGTTGCTTGAGTGAAGCAGGGATCTTTGGATTAGGAATAATTGGGATTGAAGCATTATAGGAAACAAACCGGGTTGGTTTAGTGATTAAAGAGAAATTATCCTGTTTGGAAATACCCGGTTGGAAGTAGTTACTGAGACCAGTGATAGTAGTGGGTACATAATGGATAGAACTAGGATCTTTTGTTATTTTGATTGGGATAGTGACAATAGATAAATGGGCGCAGATTAGTCGTTGGCCAGTTATTTTGTTTCGAGGTGGTAATGGTAAGATAATATGAGTATTGGGTTTATCAATTTCTAGAATGAGTTTGTAGTTGTCCGTCCAATTGACTTGGTTGATGAAATCTATCTTCTCTATGACGGGCCTAGTTATGGTCAAGGAGGCTATGGTGAAATGGGTTAGTAGTGGCAAAATGGTCGTTTGAGTAGAAGCAGTGAGACGGGCTAGTGTTAACTTAATAATAATATGCTGTGCTTTATCAGCAGCCACTAATTGAGTACGAAAGTCCTCTTGTAAGTGCGCCTCCTCTAGTGATAAATGGGCCGGACCAACCATTAGAGATTCTGGAGATATAATGATCGAGAGCTTGTGGTTCGTATAACCTGCTGGCGGTTCAATGATTGTTAAGCACTGGCATAAGACAGCAAGAACAAAGAAAAGCTGGGGATGATTCAAAACAATTGATTGGATCCTCATTTCTATTCTACCGAATTTCTTTAAGGCCGCTAACAGTTCCTTCATTGCATGTTCACTCCATTGACTATCCAGTCTAATAGTATAAGCCTTCTGTGGCTTACGACTAGCCAGATCAAATCGTTCGGCCAGCCAAGACGTTTTATAGACCCAAAAACACTGCGACAATCCTTGGCTAGCTTTTGATTTGAGATTAGTCTGTTCATCACTCATCAAAAGTTCGTACATTAACTCTTGTTCTCGTGCCGTGATTGGCCAGAGTTTCAGTGGTGTAATTCCACGACTTCCCAAACTATTCCAGGCATCTAACTCCATTAATTCTTCAAGGGCCAGCACCTCGTTCTCTTTGGCTTCCTCAAACTGCTGGCGCTTAGACTGTTCTATCTTTTGTTGCACAGTTAGAGAATGGGCTACCTTCTTTAGCAACTGGCGGTTTTCGGACCGACTTAGCCTCAATTCACAAGGTTTCATTACTGGTGGCCTTCTTTTACATACAGCAGCTAATTCATTATAGGCCAATTGCCCCGCTGCATTAGTTTCTTTCACTCGGGCGACCAATTCATCGCGTGAGGCCAGTTTCTCATTCAGTTCATTCGGCACTCCCCATTCAAGTTCATCCTCTTGCATACTACTCCAAGCCCAATCTAATGCCACAATCAAGCAAATCAACCAATAAACAACCCAAATAGACCGATTCAAACCTTTGCACATGCACAGCTTATTATCTTCTTCAATTTATAGACTATTCCCATCAAAATCCCAACCCAAACCAACCGCTAACACTCTCACCACCCCCTAACTCAACCCAACTCAACCCAATAACCATCAGACACACTATCGGACATATCACCGCACATATCACTACATCTATTACCGCACATACTACCCCTAACGCCTATCACATATACTATCTACGCATTTATTTTTCATGCGGGCTAGTGACTTCTTTCATCCCCCACTTCTAAGAGCAGCCACTGAAGATGGAGAAGAACGAGAACCCACCCCAACCCAAAGCAAACAAGAATGGCAAAGTCTAGCCCAAAAATTCCTAACTCCTGCCTCCCATCTTGAGACCACTATCTATCGTGAAGCCGAACTAGAACTAGCTCGAAAAGAACTAATCACCCAGGGTATCATTCGCGAAGAGAAGATCGAAAGAAAGACTTACACCTCTACTTCCACCAAAACTCTCAAACCCGCCCTTCTTAATTCCATGGCCGATCGACTCCAAACCATTCTCCAAGAAATCAACCGCCTAGAAGACCAAGAAGATCAAAAACGAACAACCATCAACCAACTAAAAGGCCAGGAGTACATCAAACGCAAAAACAACACTTTAATCATTCACATTCTTGATAAGTTATTCCTACCCATCAGCACGATCACTAAAGGTCTTAATGAATCATTTATAGTCTGTACACTCTTTTATAACGGTCTAGCCCATATTGGGTACATAACAGAAAAAGAAGTACTTGCTTTTGATTCAACTAATACTTCAGCTCTAGCCACGGCCATTCAAGCCTTTCGCGATCGCGCCAACTCAACGGCAATTCTCCAAGAATACTTCGGCCAAAAAGAAAGAGCTACCATCCAACGCGTCTCAGAAAAACCAACCACTCAAAGTCAACTTAGTCTTTTTCTTATCTGTGCTTTGAAATTAGGCTATAGCTTTAGTGAAGCCATATCTCTGATCCAACAACGCGACCAGAATTTTTCATGAGGATAATCGGCGACACTGACCGAACTCAAGTCTACACCCTTGCTGAGCTTGAAAAGAAAGAACGTCTTGAATCCGTACTAGCCACAGAATGTGACATCTTTAATTTCCTTGGTCTTGATCCAAAAGATAAGGAAACCCGCCGAGAAGCCATTTCCAAGGTCATGAAGAAGCATGCTAAGAAGCACGATCGTACTGGTAAGTGCAAGTGTCCAATTAAGAAGTTCAAACAACGCCGTATGATCTCTTTACGCGAGTATATTACTTATAACAGTGGCAAGTGTGATTTAGATGGAGCAGAGGTCGGATACATCATTCCTAAGAATACGGCCTTAGGCATGGAATTTCGCAGTCTTTTGATTTTGATTCGCCAAATAGTTATCTCTGAAAAAAACTCGGGTTCAACTCCCATTGAGTTCTTTGCTATGTGGCTAGCCATCAATATCTTTATTGTTATTTTCTTGTACTTTGAACGGTTATTCCGAATGAGTTAGTTAGTATTGGGTTGTGTTGGGTTTAGTATTAAGTTGTGTTTAGTATTTGGATTGGATTGAGTTGAGTTAGATTAAATTGTGTTTTGAATTGGGTTATTTTAGTATTAGATTATGTTTAGTATTAGATTGCGTTAGTATTAGATTGTGTTAGTCTTAGATTATGTTTAGTATTGAATTATGATAAAGATACTAAACTCAAAATTATATCAACTTATCTTATCTTAACTTATCTCAACATAACATTTATTTTGTCTTATCTCACCTACCTCACTCAACTCAACTCCACCTAACCCAATACTAACCCAATAAATCACCAGTAAGTCGCACAACCTTCATAAAGTCCTAGAATTAACTCGTACTCCTTAACACTCTCCCCTCGAGTTTTGATTTCAGTCTCAAGAATAGTTTTGGTTTTGTTAAGTTCTTCAAGTTCAACTTCCATTTGGTTGACCTTATCTTCATTTTCAGATAGTTCACGGGCTAAGGCAAAGATACGGTTCTCTTCTTTGTTTAGTGCAGTGGCTTGTTCTTCTCTTCTTCTTCGAAGTTCTTGAACATCTTTAGCTAAATGAGCATTCTTACGACGGCTAATAGCAATAGAGTGTTCCAATACCGAAGCTTCTTTGGCTAAACCAGCTACTTCTTGTGAGAGTTTAGCTAGACGTTCTCGAATGGCCTGAGCTGTGATAGTATCCATAAAGAAAAAATGACCCCCCACTAATTAGCCAGGTTAGAATTGAGTTTAGTATTAAGTTGGGTTAAGTTGGGTTAGTATTGAATTGGGTTGTGTTATAGTGATGTTGAGCTGAGTTATAGTGAAGTTGAGTTATGTTGAGTTAGTATTGACTTATGTTATAATGAAGTTGTGTTGAGTTATGTTGAATTAGGAGTAGATTATGTTCTGGTGAGTTGTTACTCTAATGTTTATTAAGTTGTCTTGGGTTAGTATTGTTGGTTGACTAACCTAGGGTTGGGCTGCGGCTTGGTTGGTTGTGGTTGCATCCTCGGTGGGGGCAACAGGTAGGTCGCGGCCGTCTTTGACTGCTTGGGTGTACTGCTTACTGAGATAAACAGTGGCATAGAGCCAGAGAATCGTAATAAGAATTGAGGCGGAGCCAATAATAAGAACGGCTTGCCGAATGTCATTGGTGTTGATTATACCGAGAAGGATGATTTGGACGGCAGCTGAAGTGGACTTGCCTAGCTTACCAAAAACTCCGTCGTAGACACCCTTCAGTCGGGAACGGTGTTCTTTGGGTATTTTCACACCAATGGCTTCCTTGCAGATATCAAAGGCGGCGTATTTGAGGATTTTGATTGCACTGACTACGATTACACCAATATTGACTTCAAGATTGAGTCTTTTTTGTGTATCTGGGGTTAGTTTTTGGCCAAGTGATCGGGCTAGAGTGGCTAGGAATCCAGTGGATTTACTATCTGTTTGCACATTGAGCCACATGACCATAAAGAGAATAGTAGATCCGATTAAAGAAAAGATGGGAGAAAGTAGACCTAGAGATAGCCAGCCACGAGTTTGGATTAAGTTCTTAAGAGGAGAGATAAGGAAGAGAATAGTGACCGTTCCGATATTGATTTGCTGGATGGCCTTGGTGTACATGACTTTAGCTGCTTTGGTCTTATGGGCTTCACTGACGGCATTGGCGGCGGCTTGGCCAATTGATGCGGCACTGGATCCTCTTGCATCGGCTGCCTGCACAGTTGATGAGTTAATTGCACTTTCGGTTAAGTTAGTGACGACTCCATAAGCCAGAACCGAAATGGACATACAAAGGATAATGCGGTTGGAGAAGGCCATCTTAATACCGGCCATAAGTCCGACTTTGGTCTTGGACTTCTTTGGTGCGGGTGGACCATCAACAATGTAAAGTGGGTACGGAACCACGCGGTCCATCAAGTACTTGTAAACAAAGATGTTCACTACACTCAACCCGGCAATACCCAATAGGAAGTACTTGTAGAAAGTTTCAATAAACTGGTCACTCGTCGCCAAGCTACTAACTACAACGCCAATTAGTCCTGAACCGACTAATGCCAGATTAGCCGCAATCAAAAACAAGGGATAGAAACGCAAAGCTTGTCGCAAGAGACATAGTTCGTTCACACAGCCAAAGAAGAGCAGGGACAGCACTACACTACCCCACATTTCTGCCGCCACATAGAACAAAGATCCGGTCCAGCAGTTAAAGATGCACAAGAACCCATTTAAAAACTCCAATCCATTAACTTTCATCTTCCCATCGGCAAACATGTCCATTACGGCGTACTTGTACGGCTCAATCTGCTCACGGAAAGGGAAGATAACTAAAGCATAGACCAAGAAGTACGAGGCAAATACCACATGTGCCCCAATCATAATAGTTCGCATTTTAACGCCTTTAGACATTAACATCTGAAAAAAGATACCAAAAGCCATCGTTGAGATCAAAACCATGGTTGATTTAAGGAAGGAGATAGAAGTGGGCAACATCCGGGACATAACAAGTGTATCTTTCCCATCTCGCAAGGTCGAGTATATAAACGAGATACTCAATCCCAAGAAAGCCAGGGAGAAGAACTTCGGGTATTCAACCGGAAGCACTCGAAAGAGATAGTAGCACTCATCCTCGGCCTTCTTCTCATGCACATCTTCCGTTGGCAAAGGTCTTTGTTTAGTATTAGTCTCAGCGATATTTTGACTCATGAGATAACAAAAAACAAAAGCTTTTTATATCTTTATCAGGAGAACATATCGGAGAGATTAATCATCTTCTAAGTAACTAGCCCGGGGCTAATGAACTCAATTTCCCCCTGTCCATCTACATCCCAACATTTAGATAAAGCTATTATTAAGTTAGTATTAAGTTAGTATTAAGTTAGTATTAAGTAAGATGAACTAAATAGATATTTTGTTTTTGTTTTTTGATTATTCTGAAATTTCAAAATTATTCGGCTAGTTTTGAGATAGTATCTTAAAATACTCAAAATCAAAATCACAACACAACACAACACAAACCCAATACTAAACCAAACACAACACAAACCCAACTTAATTTATTCTAATTTAATCTCATTAATTGCTTTCCTTCAGATGCGGATATGTCTGCAATGCATCAATTGCCCCCGTGGTGGTCATAGACACATTAATGGCCGGACCCAAGAGAAGACTCAATTGCTTCTTCAACAAAGGTGGAGCTGGCGCTCGTAATAAAATCTCCTTAAGGAATACTAATGAACTCTCAACTAAACCATCTGCTAACAGTGATAGTACTACTGGAAACAAAGAAGGAATCAACTCACTAGGGAAGTACTGTCCTAGTAAAGCCGGATTCCCTAAACTCAAAGCCAAACTTAATAAGTGCTTGTTCTGAGCCCGACAGGCAAAAACTGCTCCAGATAAGGCATCTCCTTCCCTAATCTTCTTCTCCATCTCTTTAGGACTCTCCTTCTGCCAAAGCTGCGATGGTTTTAGACCTCGAGCCCGATCTGAGAAGACAAACACTCCTTTGCGCGTACATACTCCTACTGTATACCCATAAATAGATGTAGTGGTAAAGACTTTAGCCATTTCTTTATCTTCCAACCGTTCTTGCACAATCCAACGCTCAACTTCATACCCATTCCAGTACATAGCTGCATAAAGAGACTGTCTTGCTCCCGTCTGCCGATCAGGCCGGTCTACCGCATACGTTACTACTAATGCACCACTTTCTAAGTACTTCATACTCAAAGGATGGTACCGACCCAGTCCATTCTTATACTCAGGTACTGCTCGGTACTCCAATCCTTCTTCTAAGTCCTTATTAAAGGTATAGGCCTTACCACTCTCTCCTAAACAACATATCTGCACACCAGTTTTAGTATGACTGATATCAGCTAGAACAAAAGGTTCTTCACCATCTTTAAGTAAAGAAGAACTCTGGCCAATACTAACTAAACCATTATTGGTAATCACTAAAATCAAATTATCAACAATTTTGATAGATAAAGGAATGTCTATCTCTTTTTCCATAATTCGTTTACCGCGTTTAATATCGTACACATCCACAAATCCAACTCCGGCTAAAACCAAAATATCTTCATCCGCATCAGCTACTACAACCACCCGCTCACTATCAATTGACTTTAAAACATCTCCATTATAATTATGCACTTTGCACACTCCATTACTAGCTACTGAAATAAACCCACGATTTCTAGATAAGATTTCAACTACTTGGGAAGTATGAACAACTACTTTCTGCATACAAACACAAGATCCTTTATCCCATAAAAACACTTCACCATTCACTCCCCCACTCACTACCAGACCTTGACACTCTCGGGCCACTACCTGTCCAGTCGAGTTCTGCTCATTAAACAGTAAAGTATCTGCTCGCCACTCCCAAACAACCGTTCCGTCCCCAGATAGCATAATCCATTCATCCTCTTCAATAAACTTAACCTCCTTAATCTTAGGAGAAACAAAGATCTTACGTAATGGTTCCTTATCTTCAGATAAAGTATTAAAAAGCAAAACATTCCCAGCCGTATCTAAAACAGCCACTAAATCTCCCTGGGCCGAAATATCAGCCGCTTTTAAATTAACCATTGTAAACTTACGTAACTGAGTCCGCCATATTCCTTTCTCTTTATAAAGTCTACTTATCTCACCATTAGCTAAGACAGAAACTATAATTGATCCAATCTTTCTTGCCCCCACCGACTCCACTCGACCTTGATGTACTAAACTACTCTTTCCCTGTGCTACACCAGTATGTTTACTATTCAGATCGTAAAACCGTAACATACCATCATATCCACTAGTCAGTATACCATCTTCAGTAGCACGTAGTAGAGTAATTGCATCACGATGGCCAATAATATGCTTTGTCTTCTTAAAGCTAAAGAAGCCATTACTTTCAGCTACCCACTCTTGTAAGAACCCTTCATACTCTAAGTAAATCAGTCCGTCTTTAATTACAGCTGCATTACACCTTTCCGATCGCATTCGGCCTATTTCTACGTCATAAGCTAAAGTGTACAAGTAAATCCGGCAACTTTCATCAAGAACTAGCAGTAGTCCTTTATCTACGGAAATGGACTTAATGGGTGCTTCTGTGACTAGAGAGAGTACAATACTCTCAGAACTTCTTATTCTTGTCCGTTTAACCACTCTATCAACTCCAATATAAATATCACCACTATCATCATTATATGCTAAACCACCCAAAGAAGAGCCATAAATAGACTCTAATGAAAATTCAGACATTACCTCTAAAAATTTGCATTACTTTATTTGGTAGTTGTTGTGAGTGTAGATTAGATTAGATTAAACTAAGGTATCTTATTATTTTGATTTTGGTTATGATTTTATTAAGTGATTATTTTGATAATTTAAGATTTTGATAATTTATGATTTATGATCGAGTAGGTTAATGCTTGATTGTGTTGGTATGAGGTTGTGTTTGGATTGGGTTTGGTATGAGCTGGATTGGGTTTGATATTGGGTTAGCATTGGTTGACTTATCTAAAGTAGTCAGGAATAAATATCTAGGTTCTTTGTTCTAGTAGTTAACTTGTTGAAAAGTAGAGATATATTGAGAGTCTTGTTAAGATGTGTGGGGAATGGTACAGATACCACAGTAGGTATTGCATATTATAGTGTATATCCTAATTTGGTTCTTTGTGAATAGTAGATGTGGTGTTCGGAGTGTTCAGTACTTTCAAGTGAGTTATGTAGAGGGGCATAGTTCTGGAATACTTATCGGCCTGGCATAGATCGTAGTGAGTGCGATTAAAGTCTCGAATTAGAAACCGCAATCTCAGATTAGTATTTATATTATGAGTATGTGAACGGTCTCAAGATGTCGTACAATCAAAAGAACCTAAACTATACCAACCCAAACTCAACACAATAGATACTATCCCTTCCCCGGGGCACTACAGTAGAGTATAAATGATAAATAGCTGATTTATTCATCTGAAACCAAAATGACATCGAGTTGTTTGGATATGTTATAGCCTTCCTCTTGTTGGCTTGATAAGTACTTGCGACAATGATAATCATTCTGGTTGACATAGAGGTAGACAGGTTTATCCTGCCCTATTGTGCTTTTGAACTGTTGGTGGCTCATGGTGGACGTTATAACACTGCTCTCGACAAGAACGAGATTGGACAGGAGCGCACATGTAAGACGCCAGATTGTTGCGTCAAATACATTTTGATTACAAACTGGGCAGGTCCTTAATGCTTTCAAACCCAATTCTCTTAGACAAACAATGCAAACTAGATGATCACATGGAAGGCAATGGATTAATCTAAAGTGTTTAATTGGTTTTAAAATGGGAGAATCATTCACAGTATCTAGTTTGGCTTTCTTTGTCATGTTTTGAGATGCTCTATCTTTCTCATCACTTATTTCATCATCTGGCTTGGTTTCCTCTTTTAGGCAACGGCTGGTTCGCTGGCATTGTGAGCAGGCAAGGAGGTTGGGTTCTTTCTTCATAGACTGTGCGAGTTTGTATAAAAGTGAGCTCGGACTTATCTCGTCGAGATTCAGATTAAGAATTTGAGGCAGCATTGTATATTCTACTGCAATTATCTCTGGTCGGCAGGCGCTAAACTCCGCTAATCTAATTATCCCAGTTATTCAGGAATGGCAACCGTATCTGGGACTTCTCAGATTTGATTTCAATGGCCTTGAGTGTCTCTAGACCGACAGTGTAGTAGTTGCCGTTGAGAATTAGCTTTCGCGTATGTTCTGAAACGTCCAGATTTAATAGTGTCAAATCCTTTAGATCCGTAAATTGGCAAGCAACCCACCCAATAATATCTACGAGACTATCCTCAGTTAAGACCTGATTGTCACTGAAGTATAGTTTTAAAGTCTCAAGGGACAGTTTCTGGGTAGGAGACTTTGATGGCTGTGATGTGCATTTGATGGAACGGTTAATAAGGTCTTTTTTTAACTCATGTAGATCAACGTTATAGAGATCCAGAGCTTGATCTACATCCCATATTTCCGTACATTTGGTGGCTGCCATTAGATACTCTTTGTAATACGCTATTTGGCGATTGATATAGGTTTGAACGGGACCAGCTTGGCATCGAATACCGAGCTTCTCAAACTCAGCTAAGACTTCAGTATACTTACTGCAATCAACACCTTCCAGTTGCAGAATCAGTTTGTTAAGACCAAGATCCGAGGTAGTTTTGTTTTCGGCTTTCATTGTTTCTATGTAGTTGAACAGTGGGAGTTCCGTGAGTCTATCTTCTTTCTTATACTCCTCGTAATACTTCACTTCATCTAAGCCACTAAAGTCATTGAGCACAAGTTTAGTGATATTTTGGCCTATAGGATGGGAGAGAATTCGGACAATGTCAAGGTTCGAGTAACGTTGGTTCAGAATATGCACTTCCACGGGACTAACAAAGGTGTATTCGTTAAATAGTTTGGAGATAATTTGGTTGTTGACATTATCGAGTACCAAAGTCTTAAGATTAAGGCGAAATTGGAGGTGTTTGGGAAGTGCGTGTTCTCCTCCTATCTTAGATATGTCAAAGGCGAATGGACTTATAACAGAAGAGCGAATATTTGAGAGTTTAAGCTCGCGGGCGGTAATATTACCGAATAGATTTAAAAGCCCATCTAATTCCTGTATAAAATCCCCGTTGCACACTACTGTTGGCAGCCCACAAATGTTAATGGTTGTATAGCGTATGTTCTGACAGAATGTGTGGGTGATAGCATAGCCGAAACCTACAGTTGAGTCTAATTTCTGCGTTTTTTGGACAAGCGAGAGGTGGAGATTAACTGTTTCGTGAAGTTCCCACTTGGCATCCCCAAGGTCGACACCAGAGCATATGTCTGCTTTCACATTCACACCATTTATTGAGGTATCATCCAACCCCAATAGATCTGTTGTAAGCGTCTCTATCGTATCTGACAAATCAGTTCGTCCCTTCTTATATTCAATCGTGCATTCTTTTGTCGAGATGCCATATGCGGCATAGGCTGCTTGGCTACAGTATGGGGCGTAACTGTCCATGGCACAACAATGTTGCTCGGTGGCTATTATGGCGGATATTTTGGTGGCATTGATTCGAGGAGTAAGGGGGAGTACGTCTGGGGGAGACCAATGGTCGAATATACTTCTAGCAGACCTACAAATAGTGACTATAATAGTGTGGACATCAATGATATGGTTATTAGAGTTGTTTTCTGCGGTCCGCCATTTAAACTCTCGTATTTATTCATTTGCAGGTCTATTTATAGACAGGAAAATTTCCTTATTGGGTAATTTTCTTCCCGCCTTTTTTAAACCGGGAATGTCCTTTTAGGAACATACAACAATTAGACTCGCATAAATATAGAAGTTGCAACCAGTACAGTTCTAGAGTTAAGTTGGGATGAATGCATTTGGCAGTGTTATTAAGCCCAACTAATTTCCAGCCGCGCAAATTATCACCAATAATAATCTTTCGACACCTGTTCTTTTGATCGCAAAGAGCGGTTAAATCAACCTGGCCTTGGTGATGTAAACCATTCAAACAGAGAGTATACTCGTCTATTAAGGGCAAGGTTAGAAAGTAGTGGCCAAAAACGGTTTTTGGGGCTATCAAGGTGAGTTTGTGAATTGGACGTAACAGAGGGATGCCCAAAGCTTTAAGGACAGGAAGATATTGGCAAAGCTCTCTTATGTTAAGTATGAGATGGTAGCTTGAATTTGAACCAACATAATTGATTTTCTCTGGTGTTTCCGGTAATCTAGACTCCAAAGTAGGCCACTTATAACGTGTCGTTGATAGCACCGCGAGACTAAATTCCAAGCACTCACACTCTAGCATATTGATAAGTCGAGACATAATATATAATATGTCCTGGTATTCCATTGGAGAGCATAAGCTATATGCAACGCTCACTTTTTTGGCTTGAATAACAGCAATGTCATCCAACGCGGCCAAACTCTTACGCAAGTCTTCTCCACTAACCCAGTCGCATTTGCCGATTTTTAAGTCCGGGAGAGGCCATTTTACCATATACCTGGTAATGTTTTTGGTGGAGTTAGTTGGGCTTAGATTTGCAACAGTATCTGAGGCCGGCATCGTTGCTTCTTTTGGAATGTAGGGTTTAACTTGTACGGTCACATTTAAAGGCCCCTGGTGTGTGGAATCTATAAGTTCTTTTAGACGTTCAGTCATCTCAGGTGATTCTACCCAGCACTCTGGGTCTTCAATCACCTCCATCCCACTCTTATTATCTTCAACAATACTAACCCAATCATTACTTGAACCTTGAACACTACCTAACAATATCAATAAAGAACACAACACCACTAAAACCAAATACTTAACCGCTTTGGTCCGATAAAGCTTAACTGTATTCACGCCTCTAACTATTTCAAGATAAGACATACAATCCAAAAAGAAAGCAAACTTATCTAAATAAAAACTACTCTCACGGATCAATATGATTAATGCGAGTTAATTACAAAGCACTAAAATTAAGAGTATGCCAAACCCGATCCCCTGTACTATCTATACTAAAAGCGAAATCCGGCACATTTGAGCCCAAACTCAGGGGCTCAAGATCGGTGGGACCAACAGGAACAGAACCACATGATTGGAAATGTAGCGACTGTTACTTCCGAGCGCCCGCAAGTATACTAGATTCACATAAGTTTGCCTTGTTTTTATCAAGTGGTATGTTCTAATGACAATCTATCCTTTTATAACCCCACTCATATCTCTATCTCTCTCTTTCCTTTCAGATATAATAATCCCAGCATACTAGTTGAAAAGACGTCTTTATTCGTTCGAATTAGTGCCTAGCAACAATAAACTATACTGCAACTACGCCTTGCTGTCCTAATACCCCAAAAGCCACCTGTGTTTGTCGGCATAGCGCACTATAGTTCCTAAACCCGCCAAGCAAAAGCCCATATCAGAGTATCTCCAGAATTAACATCGGCAACTCCATACCATTCCAACACTAACCCAATCCCAACATAACTCAACTTATCACAACATAACTTAACTTAATCCCAACTCAATCCCAACCTAACTCAATCCCAACATAACCCAATCTAAACTTAACTTAAACTAAACTTAACCTAACTCAATCTAAACTTAACTTAAACTAACCCGATTTATTACTATCTATCTATTGCTAGATGCGATTAAGTCTTACATTTGGTACTCGGCATAGGTCATATCGGCTTGCATTTCTTCCAGTGACTTCTTCTTGATTGGCTCGTGCTTCTTGAGCATGGCTAGAGTATTGGCTAGACCGAGCATTTCTTCTATCTTAAGAGAACTAGGCCGTTGGTCTTCATTTTCATTAGAAATATACTCATTAGTGTTTTTGTCGATATAACCAGTAATTAGCCCTTCCGAGATAGCCTTTTGTAAGAGAAAGACGGCACTTTCTTCTGAAACGCCTAAGACATTAGCTGCAGCACTAAGTGATATCTTGGTATAAACCACACCTACTCGACGAACGTTCTCCTTTTGTACGGCTGATTCCAGTCGGACTACTGCCTGATACATTCCATCCTCTTTTAAGATGCTTTTTGATTCCGCAACGGCTTGATTGAATAGATCTAAAGAACATGACTTAATGGCCAGCAGAATCTTCTGATAAACACCTAGACCAGGATTGTTTTGAAAATAAACCCGATTTGGATGCTTACCCAAATGAAGCTGAGTCAGAATATGTACTTTACGGTACTCCTGAGTAAACAAAGGATCTGTACTCTTAACAATAGCCTGGTTGACCATTTGCTCAGCCATAGCATACTCACCAGCCATAAGGTAAACTACACTAGAAAGATAATGAAAGACCGATGAATGACCAACATCAGCACCTTCTGGCAACTTAGTGTGTCTTAAGAACGTATACGCTTCATCGTATAACTCGCGGCGTTGGAAGTACATTAAGATACTATTAATTATTACAGTAGTGGTTTCGGCATTACGATACTCGCGATTTTTAAACAGACCGAGTAAGTAGTTAGATAGCATATTCTTACCCGTAGCAGTAGAAGTAATTCTTATTACAGTCCAAAGACTAGCTAAAACACCATCTAAAGCTCTTGTATCTCCTTTATCCATCTCAGCTAAAGTATCCATGGCAATCTTAAAGGCTTCTTCTTGCTCTCCTTCATTGATCAAAACACAAGCTCTTACTAAAGAGATAAGATAAGACTCGGGGCCGGATGGATAACTTGAATGAATTTCATCTACTTGACTACTGGAAAGGGTAGTGGCCAGTTCAAAAAGGTTTCTTAGGGCCTCTTTGGTACCTTTTAGAGTATTCTTCTGGATAGACTCGATACTTTCAATGAGTTTTTTCATAATTGAAATTAAAGTGGCCAATTTATGAGTTTGACTGGGTTTAGATGGTTTAGATGGGTGTGTTTGTTTGTATTTACTCAAGTTTAGGTTGTCTTTGGGTTTGGGCTCGTTTGATTGTGGTGGTTTGAGATGGTTTTATGATAGTTAGTGGTGATTTAGAGGGGTTTAGAGTGGATTTAGATGGTCAGTAAGTCAATTTGCACCTAAGTTGAGTTGGTCTGGTGGTGGTAGACTTGTCATAACATTGCTATAAAAGGAAATAATAGATTAGTTTGGGTGGTGTAAGGTAGGGTAAGGTAGAGTGATGTTTAATTTGGTATTGGGTTGAGTTGAGTTGAGTTGGGTTGGATTGTATTGAGTTGATTTGATTTGATTTGGTAATTGTAATAAAGGAAATGATTCTGTTGAGTTTGGGACTGATTTTGAGGTTGAGGTTGTAGTGTGCTTGGGTTGGGATGCGTTGGTTATTGAGTGGTGGGGTATGGTATGGTATGGGTGGTGTGATTTTGATTGGTGCATTCTGGGTTTTTATCTGAATGTTGTGGTGGAAAAGTTATGGAAGACAAACAGGAGCTGGAAAAGATAGCTAATGGTTTAGTGGAAGGAAATAAGGGAATATTAGCGATAGATGAAAGTCCTAAGTCAATGGAAAAGAAGTTTGGTAGTGTGGGCATTCCTAACACAGAAGAGAATAGGCGAAGATATCGAGAAGTGTTACTAACTGCTCCAGCTGGGATAGAACAATACTTGGGCGGTGTGATTTTGAATGAGGAGACTTTTCCTCAGAAAGATAGCCAGGGAAAGGCCTTTGTAACGACTTTACGTGAAAAGGGTATCTTTGTTGGAGTTAAGTTAGATAAAGGATTGTTGCCTTTAGGAGAAGGAATGACTGAGCAGATAAGTACGGGACTAGATGATTTAAGTGTGCGCTGCCAAAAGTACCGAGAAGGAGGAGCATCTTTTGCTAAGTGGCGCTCAGTCTTCTCAATTAGTAAGAGTATGCCATCTGAGGAATGTATTTACAAGAACTGTGACATTCTTTCAGAATACGCACTGATTTGTCAGAAGAACCGTTTGGTCCCAGTCGTGGAACCAGAAGTCCTTTTTGATGGTACGCATACGGGCGAAGAATGTGAAATTACCAGTGCATCCGTGATTTCTTGTTTAATCTACCACTTTAATCGAAAAGGTGTGCACATTCCGGGTCTATTGTTAAAACTAGGCTTTGTCACCTCGGGATCCAAAAATGAACGATTGAGTCTAGAAGAAGTTGCTTCTGGCACAATTCGGGCCTTTATGTGGTCTATTCCTCCTAGTGTACCAGGAGTAGTCTTCCTAAGTGGCGGCCATCCAGAAGATGTCTCAGTTGAGTACTTAAAGGAAGTTAATATGAAGAAGCGAGCATGGGGCAGTCCCTGGGTAATTTCCTACTCATTCGGACGGGCCCTCCAAGATAGTGTACTCCACAAATGGGGCAATAAGGACGAGAACAAAGCCGATGCCCAACAACTCCTATTGGAAAGAGCCCGCATCTGTTCCCAAGCCATAGCTAGTGATCAATAAACATCTTCACTTAAACTACTATCTAAATAGCCCAATACTAACCCCAACTCAATATCTATACTTTATTTGTACACACCTATTTACCCCTACTATCCCATCATCTTCATTCAATCCAACCCAATACTAACCTAATAGCACTAACTCATCTTAATACTACTCTAATATTAACTTAGTTTAACTCAACTTTAGCTCTACATAACTTAACTCAACTTTAGCTCCACACAACATAACATAACATAACTCAACTTAACTTCATATAACTCAACTTAACTTCATATAACTCAACTTAACTCAACCACAGAACATAAACTCAGTCCAATTCAATTCAACCTTAACTACACATAACATAACCCAACCACATAACATAACTCAACTTAACTCAACCACAGAACATAAACTCAACCTAACTCCACAACCCAACCACATAACTTAACTTAACTCAATCCAACTCCACATAACATATCATAAACTTAACTCAATTCAATAGAATAACTAAATTCAAACCAACTTGAATCTTTTCAATATTCAGAACAGGTTGGTGTTCTTTTAGTTTTTGTACTTAGATTTAGATTAAGCTGGACTAGTCTTAGATTATACCTTGATGGAATTGGCCAGACGAGAATAAAGAGGATTTGAAGGTAAGAGATGTATTGGAGAGGTGGATTGAATGTGAGATATAATAGAAAGATAGATATAAGCACGAGATGGAATTTTTTAGTATTGGGTTTAATATGGTCGGGAAATACGCAGTAACTGAGCAACTGGGAAAAGGAGCCACTTGTATTGTTTATGGGGGATACAATCGAAAGACAAAAGAGCCAGTGGCAATTAAAGCCGTAAATTCAAATAACAAAAGACATCTGCACTTGGCAGCCAATGAAATACGTGTGTTACAACGCATTCAGCACCCGAATATCATTAGGATGATTGAAACGGTTGAAACCAAAACACAAACATTGATTATTTTGGAAAAGTGCAAATTTTCACTATCTACAATTGCCCGATCGGGTAATTTATCTTATAAGGTAATTATTCGGTTATTTCGTGATATTTTAGTGGCATTACGTTATCTACATGGCCAAGGCGTCATTCATCGTGACGTCAAATTGGGTAATGTTATGATTAGCGAGCAGAATGAGTTAAAATTGATTGATTTTGGTCTCTCTAAAGATACTTTGTTTAGTGCGCCTTTGACTTTCTGTGGGACACCAGAGTTTATTAGTCCAGAAGTTTTAGAGCGTAAGCCGTACACTAAAAAAACAGATATATACAGTGCCGGAATGCTTATCTACTTTTTGGTTTTTAAATGTGATTATAGTCAAGTTAAGATTGAAAATGCCAAACACTCGGCCCAATACGGAGGAGTAGTTTGTTTATTAGAAAGAATGCTGGAAAGAGATCCAGATAGGAGAATCACGGCTGAGGAGGCTTTAGCTGATAAGATCTTTCATTCATTTATTCCTAAGATTATTGGGGTAGAAGGTATTAAGCCATTTCAGATGCCAACTAAGCTGGGAACGATTGAGTGTCTAGAGAATGGAGTGCGGATGTCAAATAATGACTCAGTCTTTACTATTCGACCGGGAATGAATGGGATCTATCAAAAATACTCTAAAACAGCCGAAGAGATCTACATTCCTTTTTCAGCGGTTGATTCAAAAACATTGAAGTTAGTGGGGTTTTGTTATTCTGTTTTGGGTTTAGTAAAGAAAAGAACACCAGTAGTTATTATCTTAACTGATCAAGGTAAGTTTTTCAAAATGATGAAAGAAGGGATGTATATCTACATTACTGATCAAGAGTATCTGGTTTGGCAAAATGGAGAAATCACGACCAAAAGCCTGAAAGATCAAAAATCAATAGAGACGCAGATAGCACGGGCTGAGATACAAAGTCTTATCTATGAAAGTATTCAGGCGCTTAATCGGAATGGCCGGACTCCACGGCCTTTAACTCTTGATAAACGAAGTGATAAAAGAGGTGATTTAAAGCACAGTATTTACCAGTCTGTAGGTATGCCATCGGTTGAGTCGACATCTTTGGCGAACTTAGTATCAATGCCGATAGTTCATGCTAAGACAGAATATGTGCCTATTTTTACAGATCAAGGCTGTGTTGTTCGGGTTGAGCCTTATTTGTTTACCATGAGTATGATGTGTGGCGAGTTTCTTATCTTAAATATCAAAGAAGAAAGTCTTACTCGTTATCTCAAAGGAGAAGCCAAACAAACTTATAAAATATCCGCCACCACTGATAAGATTGTGCTCCAACGAGTGCTGCTCTTTGAACAGGCGTTTTTGCAGATAGAGACCCTTTAGTGTAAGTAACAGACAGGCAACCAATAAATTGGTGTTTATTAAATGGGTTAAGTTAAGTTGTGTTAAGTTGGGTTGAATTAGTATTGAGTTGGGTTAAGTGGGGTTAAGTTGGGTTGGGTTAGTATTGGGGTAGTATTAATCAATAACACAGTGTTTAAGAGTGCTTCTTTTATGGTGCTTGGTTAGTTTTAGAGCTGGACACTGGTAGATAGTTAGATCGGTTAAGTATTGGTTGGCATGTCTCTGTCGGTACGGCTTATAATACTTCATGAGACACCGGTCGATCCATCGGGCAACTAAACGGTGTCGGTTTGGGATGGTGAATGAAAGATCAGCAAGAACCTTGCAACGACATATTGTTAGAAGACGCAAAGCTACAACTCCAGTTTGTCGGTTGGCCAGATTATAAAGATTAAGAGTAGTTAGATTGGGACAGTCTGAAATGCGCAAGTGCTTTAGATTGGGAAAGTGTTGGGTTAGAAGAATGTTAATAAGAGGGTTATTAATAAAGGAGAGACCAAGAGATTGTACGGAAATGCGAGAAGGCTTTTCGAGTCTAGAGTTTGCAGTTACTTTTGGTATTTCAAGTGTGACGTGGCTTAAATTGATCGTATGAATACTCGGAAAATGGCGATGAATCTGATTGCCATCCAAACAGAAGGAAAAGTAACGCGACTTTAACTCTAAATCACCTATATAGGAATGGGCAAAACACTCGCCAAAACACTTGGATAGCTCAACAGTCTCAGGCAGACTGGCATCTGATTGGGGGTCTTCAGTGATCACTAGCTGGCGCAGCCTGGGAAAGTGAGAGACAAACTTCTTGTTGAATTCGGCTGCTTGCTCGGCCTGTAAATTGTAACTTGGTCCTTCATTGGGTATCTCGATGTAGCAAGTAATATCGTAATCCACTGTGCCATCAGGTGATGTGCTTGTTGTGTAATGTGTCGAATCAAGATCTACATTCTCAGGTAGAACGTTAATTACTAAAATCGTGAGTCGGCGGGCCTTTATAACTTCCGGTACTGTTTGTATAATTTGATCAATGATAGAAAACCCTTTCAGATCTACATTCCTTAACATCAGTATACTAAGGTGAGGGAATGTGCTGCTGGAGCTAGGTATTGGCTCAGACATCTCTAAAGTCAGCATTTCAGCCGGCTTCTTAAGAAAGCATTGAATTTTGTCGCTCAAATTGGCTAAAGTAGTTGTCAGTGTACTGCCTAGTTTCTTTTGGCCTCCAGCCTGGATACTACATACTCCAAGAAGTAAGATAAGCAACAATCCTAATCTCATAAGCAAAATAAAAAACCAAATCCCTATCTACATTGGGATATAATCGGATCTCCAATTAGATTGATAGATCACTCCAGCCAGCAGCATTCTACCAACACTAACCCAATTCAATTCAATACCAATCCAATATTCAGTTTATTCAAAAAGATTAGCAACTTTCTCAAGATTAATAACGTCAAAGAAACCCAAGGTGATTACAACAAGAACCACCAATACAATCACTGCTAGAATTACTAAGCAGGGAACCAACCAGTTAGCTCCTGTCTCAGTCGTTTTCACACCAGGCGGATCTATATCTATCACAGTCATAGAAGGGGAAGGTTGTGGAGACGAATTAAGAGTTGGATTATTAGTTTGATTGGTTTGAGTAAGGGGTTGGTCCAATAGAGGTGCCACTTCTGGGGTAGCATCGACTGGCCTAGCTTCAGTTTCTAATGTGTCTGGTGTTTTACGTAAGAATGAAGGCACAGCTGCCACTAAACCTTGCTTGATCGTACTGGATTTAGACGTCTTTTCATTCTGACTTGAACCTCTTTTATCTTTAGGTTTCCTATGTAGTATCTTTGCCACTCTATTAAAACCATTGGATTTCTCCACTTCTACCTTTTCTACTGTCTCATCATCATCCTCACCAATGGGATTAGAACTCTTGGTGCTTTCATTTTGAGTAGTAGCAACTGTCTTACTTGCAGTAATGGGGGTATCCACTTTATTCACTTCTACTTTCTCTACTTTCTTCTCTTCTACTTTCTCTACTTTATTCTCTTCTACTTTCTCTACTTTCTCCTCTTCTACCTTTTCTACTATCTCATCATCATCCTCATCAAAGGGATTAGAACTCTTGGTGCTTTCATTTTGAGTAGTAGCAACTGTCTTGCCTGCAGTGCTGGGGGCGTCCACTTTATTCTCTTCTACTTTCTCTACTTTCTTCGGCTTCTCCACTTCTACCTTTTCTACTGTCGTCTCATCATAATCCTCACCAAAGGGATTAAGGTTCTCGGGGTATTCTTCTGGACTGACATCACTATTTTCATCATAGAATGGATTCTTCGAGGTGGTACCGGCTTGATTGGGCTGGAGTGACTTGGGGTTTGTCGTCGCGGCAAGATTCGCCATTCTTCGTGGTCGTGGAGGTGCTACAGGATGCGGATTTTCATTATTCGCCATTCTTTGTGGTCGTGGAGGTGCTACGGGATGCGGATTTTCATTATTTGCTAATTTAGTGCCTTTCTCCATGGTATTAGATGCGCTATCATTGCTGAAAGCGCCCGAGTCGTCTGAGAGAGCGCTAAGACTTCTTTTATGTGATGGTGAAGTAGAGGATGCATTTTTACTGTTAGCTGGATCTATTTGATCTTTCATAAGTTTTAACTCCACGAAAATTATTTATCTGACAGTAGTTTTTTCCTTATATGGTAATAAAGACAATATTTTATATTTTGAGACTTTCATTGGGCACATACTCAGATTATTAGTATTAAACAAACTGGCTTATTTTGAGTAATTATATCAGTTGTTTTCTGCGGTCCGCCATTTAAACTCTCGTATTTATTGAAATTTCAGGTCTATTTATAGACAGGAAAATTACCTAATAAGGAAATTTTCTTCCCGCCTTTTTAGATCAGGTATGTTCTGCTAGGAACATACAACAATATCTACTAGCCCGGTTTACTCCTAGTGACATCATATACATTCACAGCCAATACAGAGGGCATATCTTATCACTCTAATCCAAAACTAACCCAAAACCAATCCATTCTCATTATTTATTGAAATAAAGCAGCTATCTTATACTAATCCAATCTATTATTAACCACGTCTTAAATACCTTGCCCAGTTAGGTGCTTTGTAATGTCTATGCCGCTATACATTAATACAGCAACTAGTATTGTGATTAGTATAGCTAACCCAAAGCCGCCTGTAAACAAAATAATGCCTGATTTAGACAAGAATCTAATAAGCTGATTAGGTTGAGTCTGGACATTGATGTCTGACATAGGTTTCGCAGGGTGTTGTATTGTGTGCGGTTGTAAATCCGCGTTCATGTCTTGAGAATCTGCAAAAGACAAGGACCCTCCGCCAACCGGTCTCTGTGTGTCCAGGCCTTGCCATCGCAAACTGTCTAGGCCGGCTAAGTCAAGCTCCGGTTCCATTGTAGGATCATAATTTGCGCGCCATCCAATGCCAGCCCATGGATCGTCGGTCGTGTCATGATGTTGCGAAGAAGTTGTGCCAGTATCTGTCCCCGACGAAGTAGTAGTTACATCATGAGGTTGTTGTTGTGGATTAATGGGTGTAGTTTCTGTTGGTTGTGTTACTGGTGGTTGTGGCGTTGGTTGTGCTACTGGCGGTTGCTGTACTGTTAGTGTTGGTGTTGGTTGTTCTATTTGTACCGGGGTTGTAGCAGTCGTGGTAGCGGCTATAGGTGGTTGGTGAGCATCGCTTTCGGTCGATGCACCAACAACTGGCGGAACATTCCCATCTGTAGTAGTTGTTGTGGCATCAGTTGCAGCAGTTGTTGCATCAGCAGCAGGGTCCACAGTAGGAGTTACTACCTCAGTTGTAGCTTCTGCATTAGCAGCTGTTGCATCAGTTGCAGCAGTTGTTGCATCAGCAGCAGGGTCCACAGTAGGAGTTACTACCTCAGCTGCTGGTCCTGCATTAGCATCAGTTGCATCAGTTGCAGCAGAAGTGCCAGCAGCTTGTGCGGTTTGGTCGCCGGCTCCTACATTAGTGCCACTAGTACTAGTACTAGGAACAGCAGTAGTATCTATTACACCGACAGGACGGGGAAACAATTGATCAAAGCCATCCTCCCAAACAACAGGATAACCATCTCCTTCTTTAATACTTATCTTGTTTTTCGTGTAATTAAGTAGATACTGTTCCTTGTTTTTCTTTATCCTTTCTACCATATCCTGATCGTTGATCCGTCTAAACATAATCTTCTTGTTATCATGTTTAGCAAGATACTCCTCTTTAGCCTTCTTTAGTAGTTTTAAGCGTTCTTCACGCACGGCAGCATCATTTTCATTAGCCGGCTTTTTGTCTTTCTTCTTGAAACCCAATGTTTTCTTGGATACCATTAATCCAAATCGCTACTTTTTTTTAGTTTAAAGAGATCAAATTTCCTTTTTAGGAAATTTTTGCTAGCTCATAACGGGTTAGTATTTCAGAATTTTAATTGGTAAAATCAAAACTAACTCAAGATATTTTCTAAAAAGCTGGTCAATCATTTATTTTTAGATAGTGCACAATCAATAAACCATTCATTCAAACATAAAATACTAACCCAAACCAACTCAGTACTAACCCAACACAGTCTAATACTAATATAAACGTTAGAGTCTACTTATCAATTGGGATTCTTTTGCAGATACAGATTCATATAGTGCATAGCTACTATTGCCCCAACGCCTATCAATAAAACCAAAATAATGTAAAACAAAAGTGACACAATTCGGGCTTCCTTATTCGGTTTGCACTTCAGCACAACCGCCATTTCACTCACACATGCCAAAATACTAACCCCAACCATTACACCAACTATAATTGATTTATGAACTAGAGTTACTGAACTACCAGTTAGAACTTCTACCAGTAGATAAGCAAACAAAATCATTACGCATGTACCAACCACCCTATACATCAATTTAAATGACCAGCTCATATCATTATATAAACCATCCAGAATCGAACTTTGATAGTTAGCTCCTCTTGCTAGCATACTAATAGCAAGTAAACCCAAAACCAAGCCAGTTCCTACTATGTATCCTATAAACGTATCACTAGGCACCCCATAAGTTGCAACTATGCCAATGCAACCATCGTAGACTAACTTCACCAGAAAGTACCAACCCAATCCCCACCAAATGTACTGTGTTAAACTAATGAACAAAGAAGTCGACTCTTCCCAAGTCGCTAGCTTACGACTTGGTTTTATCCAGATCATATCTTCTTCCTTCTCCATTATCTTCTTCTCCACTATCTCGGGCATCACCCAACCTTTCTTTGCTTCGGCTCCAGTAGATGCACCCAAGCTAATTAACTTGCCATCTTTCCAACTCCGATTATCATTTAATGGATGAACTGTACTTCCATCACTTATCAATGAAAATAGTTCAAATATTGTCTTTGGTTCATTTTTCTTGATTTGAGATTGTGATAATAATTCTTGAGTTTCAGCTATCTGAGACATAATAACCAATCACTAAAAATAAAACTATTTATTCTATGCATTAATTTGATTTCTAGATTTTGCCTAATTTGGTAATGTTTCCCGATTAGGAAAGAGCACAAACAAATATTTCGAGATTCAAACCGAGTTTAATATCCATCAAACAATCACATTACCAAACAATTCAGTAATAAGCAGTGTCTTTGCCTTCTATACATACATACAGCCTTTTTAATAACACTACCACTAACTCAATGTCAACTCAATACCATGTCATACTAACTCAACTCAATACCAATACCAATACCAACTCAATACCATACTAACTCAATACCAATACCAATACCATACTAACTCAACTCAACCCAACACAACTCAACCCAACACAATACAATACAACACAACACAACTCAATACTATACCAACTCAATACAACACAATACAACACAACTCAACTCAACCCAACTCAATACAATACCAACTCAATACAATACCATTTAGCGCTGGACATACTCAATCATAGAGCAAATAGCCGCACAACCAAATAAACCCGTGCCCAGCTTAGCATACAACATAAACCGACGTTCCGCTCTTAAGTTCTTCTTTCGAGCCACCAAGTCTATAATAGCATGCACAGCACAGGACACTCCACTAACATAAGATATAATAGTAATAACATGCTCCTTGGCCATTTCGTTAATGCGATTATAAGAAATGTAGATAGTCATACTCGACCCCCAAAAAGACAGTAAATAAGAAACATACCCATGCATCAGACTATTCGAGTGCCGCAAAGCTACAATCCCAACTACTTGCATAATCCAAGAGATCACACATAATCCCTCCGTATAGGCATAGTTCTTCCCCGTCCACCGCACTAAAGGCATAGCTAAAACTGCCGCAGCAATCTTAGTCATCCCTTCCATGTACCCGTGCAAGGCCTTATCCCGATTGACCACTCCTAAAACCTTCACTTTCTTATCTACCATCCCAATCAACTTAACCAAACCCAAAGATACCATATAAAATACATAGCTCACCTTATCCAACATCACCTTAATCATCCGATCACACCTTCCCACCTGCCCCGTCCTTTCAATCAGTACTACATCAATGTAAATCTTAAAACAAGAACTCAATGTAAAGGCCCCCGTATAACTAAAGACCTTCGCTAATAACCCCGGACTTATTCCCGACAGACTCACTGGTGTAGCCACCACACTATCTGCCTCTTTCGGTAAGAGCAAAGTCAGTCCTAAAACCAAGCCCTGAGCCATTATCGTCAAGTACAGAGCCGGTAAACACCCACCGGAAATACAGTACGTATTCTGAGCTACAAAGGAAGAGAACATCCCAGCGATTTTTCTAATAGTACTATAACGATTGGCCCGATCCTGATTACTCTCCCCATAAAACCTCTTATCAGCCACAATCATACTGGACCTAAGAGCACTTAATATCTCCACAACAACCGTTATTATCAAAGACCTTTTCTTCATCCCAATTAATAAACCAGTTCCTAATAACTCACCTAAAACCGAAAGACTAATACTCCCTAACAAACCCAGCTGATTAACTAGCACAGGTACTATCAAAGAGAAGATAAGCATAGAATAAAGCCACCAAGGTATAATCCGATCAACAATATCTTTAGTTGTGAACCCTTTTTCTTCAACTAAGTATACAGACATAAAGGGAGTAATTGGTCTAAAGTTACGTCCAATGATTAGAAGAGTTCGTAGCATCTTAGGCCGAAAAGATTTGCGGACTAATATGGCTGAATCTGTTGCTGCTAAGAGTAAGTACTTAGAAGTACCCCAAGAAATTCGAAATAAGATAGTGCAATTGCATAGTTTATCGAAAGAGTACAAACGTAAGCCGCGTAATTATAAACCTAGTTCAGCTGATGAAATTGAGTATCGAGGTATCTTTCAAGAGTTAAAGATGGTGGCTATTAGTTCTGAAGAAGTCAAACGTAAAGCTCAAGAAGAGTTATCTAATTTAGAAGATATTAGGGAGTGTGCTAAAAGTGTAGCTGAATCAAAGAGTGATATTAGGAAGGAAGAGTTATTGGAGATGCTTAAGAGGGAAATCAGTAAGGGAGAGGATAAGATTACTAAAATAGAAGAGCAATTAAGAGTGATTGTTAATCGAGAAAGAAAAGATAGTGTCTTACAAACCATTCAAGAGAATATCAATCGTATCTCAGAAAAGATCGAACAACTGAAATAGGACTTGATTGAGTTGGGTTAGTATTGATTGGGTTAGTATTGGGTGGTGGGATTGAGTTGGGTTAGTATTGAACTGCTGCTTAGTTAAATAAAGGATTAAGTGCGTGTTTATTGAGTTAGTATTAAGTTGGTATTAGGTTGGTATTGAGTTAGTGTTAGGTTGGTATTGAGTTAGTATGTATATGTATGTGTAGGTGAGTTACTATGTATGTGTATGTGTATACGTAGTTGAGTTAGTGAGTGGTTGGGCTGGGATTGGGTTAGAATGTGCACGATTGCTGAGACGGACTGGTCTAGTGGTTATGATCCCCGCTTAGGGTGCGGGGGGTGCCGGGTTCGATTCCCGGGTTCGTCCTTTTTTTGACTGGAGATTGGGTGGCCATGCAAGTTTGTCTGAGTCATTTGGGTGCTGGGAGTGTTAGCCGGGAACAGGGCAGGAAATTGCAGCGGTATTTGAAAGGAGTGTTGTTGCAAAGTAATGGTTTGGGTCGTTTGCTTTTGGAAAGATTAGAAGCGGATGGTCGGAGTAATTGTGGACGGGGAAGTAACCGTACAATCAGTGGGGGAGTAGAGAATGAAATTTGTACAATGTTTGGTGATGGTCGGTTCTTATCTGTTGCTTTGATTCCTGAAGGTGTACAGCCCATTAAAGTGCTGGATTTAGCTCTACAGATGGAAGATAGGCCTGGATTTGTGCGGCCTTTATCATTGGTATACCAGCCGCAGTTAGAACAGTGGCAGGGGAATGGGTTAGAGTACCAAGTAGGTGGTGGACATAGTAGTGGTAGGTATAGTAGTGGTGGGAGTTTAAGTGAGTCTTGTGATACGGTTGGAGTGATTGAAGTTTCGGCGACTGGAATTACTTGTTGGTCGAGTAGTGGAGGGCCGAGTCAGAAAGTGGAGGGTCGAATTGGGCCTTGTTCTGTCTATGGTGCTAATACTCTGGCTAATGAGCAGTTGGGAGTGTGTATTTCGGGAACGGGCGAGAGTTTAATTAGGAGTGGTATTTGTCGTAAAGTAGCTGAACGAATTAGTAGACATGAATTTGAAGAGATTAAAGATGATTTAGTTGAGTTTATGGCTAAGGAATCGGAATTTCCTTATTTGGGAGGTGTAGCGATTTGCCGTAAAGATAAGAATAGTTTGTTTTTGATTCACTTTCAAACGGCTGAGTCTTTTATTTATGGCTATCTGGTTAATGGGTTAGTCCATACCCAGTACCATTTTCAAGACCGAGGCGTACCATACGTGTCTGTGTCTATTTTGAGTTGATATTGTGTTGGGTTGAGTTGGTATTGAGTTGGGTTGAGTTAGTATTGAGTTGAGTTAGTATTAAGAAGATATAAATAGAGTGACGTAGCCTAAAATAAAGATTGAGTTAGTTGAGAGGTTATTTTGTTGACACGCTATCTAATTGATCTGCTATTTAATTGTGCTGAAATTATAATACTAACTGAATGCTATCTGAATACTAACTGAATACTAACCTGGTTTAATTTGGTGAAGACAATCTAATCTATGCCTTAATTTCAAATACAAAGAATTATCTTTGCTTTTAGATATGGAATGCGAATCTATGCCAATTCAACAACCAAGGAGTATCTATGCTTTAAGTAACCCTTCTTTTCTCTTTTGCTTTATCTATAGTATTCTGAACTTCACTTATAGCATATCTATCCATAATTATGAAGTGGCTGAAAACAAGTTTCTGGCTATTAAGGATGAGGTTTATGTGGCTACACAGTGCAGTCATATGAAGACACTATCAGCTAGTGCTAAAACAAGCTCGATGGCTTTGGATGCGGCCTTCTTTAAAAGCACAACCCTGAAGAGCTTCTTTTCTGGTGTGCTGACGGTCTATCTGTTACTTATGGTGCTTAAGATCTGTTACAAGAAACTCCTCTGCTCACTTGGTCGGCCTAAATGGATATCTGTGGTCTATGCTTTTGCTCTGGCCTTTTATCATCTGACGTTTTACTTGATTGTTGTTCATGGGTACTCGCATCTGGGGATTCTATCTGGTGCCTACTATACGGCCAGATTTATTCTGGGCGGTCTTCACTCCTTTCACACCTACTACTTTGGCCAGCAACTAAGCTTGATGTTTCCTGATCCCACTCGAGAACATCGCAGCTACATTAACTTGGCCAGTATTATGGCGACTATCTCTGGCTCTCTAAGTATAGTGTGCGTCTCTCTGAGTAATTACTTGTTTAGCCCTTGTACTTCGCTTGGGTTTGGGCTCTTCCTGGTTCTTCAAACCGTTCTGGCCACTACCTGCATTCTATGGATTAGCTTCCGAGTTGAGGACAAGCTTTGTGCCAATAGTGAATCTAAGCTACTAAGTGTGGCCCCTCAGAATCCGGGGCTGGAGATAGACCTGCAATTGATAGAGTCTTCAACTGTTACGGCACCTAACTCAACAAGCCGGGTTAAGAAGTGGTTAAGGCAGTTTAAAGACGATCTGTGCTCTTTGGGGTTTTGGCTAGTTGTGCTCTGGCCGGTTGTTTTCTTTATGTCGGGAGTTAATGGCATCTTGTTTTCGCGTAGTTTACTGTTTACAACGGATGTGGTCACTTGGCCTTATTTGCTGTTTCTACTATCGCCATTGCTGGGATCTCTACTGGCCTTGGCCGTTCAGCGAGTTCTTTCGCATGGCCTGATTCTGTACCTTGGGGCGTGTGTGTGTTTGTGCATCCATTTACTCTACTTTGCGGTTTCCTACTTACATGATCCGAGTATGATCCTTTATAACCAGATCCTTCTTTCTCTATTCATGATTGCCTTTAACTTCTCATTCGTGCCGGGAATCAGTGTTATCCCAATTTATATTGGCGGTCGTTTGGCTTCTTCTTACATGCTTCCTCTGTTCTATACGGCGATGGAGACCTGCGACTGCATCTTTGCTATTTTGTTCCCAATTTGGTACTCTTACTTAGATAGTGGGGTTTTTCTTGTTTTTGCGCTTTTCATGTTCGCCAGTCTGCCACTGATTTATATCTCTATCAAAGCATCACGCTCTGAGCAAAGAAGAAAGGGGGTAGTAAGTTGAGTTGGGTTATATATAATTGGATTGGGGTTGGTTCAATTTATTGACTAGTATTGGGTTAGTATCATGCTGGTCTTTGTACGGAGTTCAATGGCAACTTGTCTTGAATTTTGATTTGTTTTTTTTGGTATATCATCCAATCATTAGAAATCGATAAAATTTCCTTTTTAGGAAATTTGACGTCAGATTTTTAAAATAAATTACCAATGAAAAAATCATATTATGGGTTATAGACTCGAATCTTACTATGGACAGAATGATCTTTATGAATTAGATAAGAAAGTTCTGGATCGACGAAGAGGTGTACAAACTGCTTATAAGATTGAAACCTCTAAAGATGGCAAGGATGTCATTCTACCGGATGCGAAAGAATACCGCGTATATCCTAAATACACAGTTAACAATAACACCAAGATCTATGACATGACTCAAAAGGAGATAAAAAGCCTATATGACTTTTGTATGCCGGATGGCCCAACTAAAAAGGCCGATCCAACCTTAGCTGAGAAGAAGACGGAGCTGGCCAATATAGTTACGAACTTCGCCCAAAAGGAGACTATCGAAATATCACAGAATTATATGAAGAGCCAGACAGTTAAAAAGACCAAAGAGGAATTGAAGAAAGCCGATGAACTAGCGAAAGTTATCTCCAGGTCAAACTTTAGGCTAACCTTAGAAGATATTGATAATGCGACAGAGCCAATTCCTGGGAATGTCCCAGCACGTATTACAGATAAACTTCCGAATTGGTTTCTGTGGGAGCTCAAGAATACGTTTAAGATTGATACAGAGAAGAAGCTTTCTTTGGTGCGTCTCTTTCTACCTGAGCCTAAACTGCCCCCGTTGATTACTGAAGACCAAATGAAGGTGATGGATCAGGAAATAACAACCCTTTTGGGCCAGAACCCAATCAACACTTCTGCGGCCTTTATCGACCGAAATAAGTACAACAACCTGTCTTTCCGAGAAAAACAACTTCTTTTCCGAGCTATTCAGAGACTGCCGGATATTATCAAATTAGATGCTTATGACCTTCCCAATTACCTCAGTAGTGGGAAAGGACCCGAGCAGCGAGATAAGGTTCGCCAGGCTCTTACCCATATCTTTACCCATGAACATCTAGGAATCAGACTGTTAGATGAGAAGAAAAACGAACAGCTTACCAAGATCAAAAAGCTGAAAAGACAACTGATTTTTCAAACACCTTATCTGTACCCTAAGTTGTTGAAGCACTATGATGAGCTAACCAAAATCCATTACCTGCAGAAAGACTGTACCAGCCATGCAGCTTACTTTGGCACACCCTACAAGTTCCAGGTCCTTGATTCGTTCCAAGATATTAAAGCGCTTCGTGACCTAATAATTCCCTCTAAAGAAGAACCAGCGTACAACCGATTCGTAATTCTACAGCCTCCAAGTGTGGTAGACTCTGATTCAGTCAGAATTGCCGCTGAGCATCCTTTCTACATACCTCAACTAAGTCTGTATGGCCATATCGCCCAATCCCTCAATAATCTCACTAGTGAGCTGCGATATACTGATGAGTACATCCAAAGGATTCATTCTCTCGAAGACCAGTTGATACTGGCCAAACAAGAAAAAGAGGCCGCTCAAGGAACGCCCCAGGCTGCGGCAGCGGCGGCTGCCTATAAAGCCAAATGCTTTTCGACTTATATGGCGATCAACAATATTTACGACAGCAGACTTCCACGGCCTATCAGCTTCCTTAATCAGATCTGGTATAAAATCAAGAGATCAACGCACAAGTTCTTTTTGGGTAACTACAATCTCCTTGCCGACTATCAGCAATCTCCCTCTAAAGGTATGAACTGGCTTCACAAGAAAATGAACAGTCTCAACAAACGATCCGACTTTTTAGATATGCTGATTGCTGATGATACTGCTAGCAAGCAAAAGTTATACCAAACTCTCAATGGATCAGTAAAGACCTTAAGCGATGTACTGGATCGGGTTTCCCTACGCGAAGAAAAGTACGAAACCCAATCAATGAGTGCTCTCATGAACACACTTCTTTTAGTTATGGGAATCTTTGCTGTGATGTTTGGATCTATTATTTTATCTGATCATGTTCTTGGAAGTATCCAAATCGTCCCTGATAGTATTTACATGCAAATACTTACGCTTGGGAAAGGAACGATGTTACTGGGCACCGGTATATTATTCTTTATTCTGAATTCTCTGATTCATGCCATGTATATTTATGGTTTCAATTTCTATATTTTCATACAAGTCCCTAGATCTAATTATTTCTTAAACCAGATCATCTTTGTGCTTGCTGTTACCTTTATTGCAATGCTTGTCAGTCTTTCCACCACCAAAACTGACCAAGCCGTCCGCAGTGGTATTGTTATCATTATAGCTTCCTGCTTAGTTTTGATGTTAATTGTTTATGACCATGCGATTATCAAGTATCAAGAAATGAACTCCAAGGACACCAAGCTTTCACGGAAAGACAGGAAAGTTCGGGTTAGGCGCAAAGTCACTCTTTTAGCCACCCTCACTATATGTCTAGGTGTCCTCTTCATTTTTGCATTGGCCAACTATACTACTCTCAAAGCTCCGCTTCTTGCAGCAGCTGCTAAAGCCAACAACCTCCCCACAACCCATGCGCCCACCATCACGCCTTTATCATAATAAACCTGGACCGTTTGTTTATTCCATATCAATCAAATAACTCAACTCAATTTAACTCAATCTAACATCAACTTAATTCAACTCAACTTAACTCAATCTGAAACCAACTAAACCTAACTAAACCCAATACCAAAAACACTTTACCTGCATAATCAATAAATTGAACCCAATACTTAACCCAATATCAACCTAACACAACACAACACAACTTAATCTTAACTTAATCTTAACCTAACTTAACTCAACCTAACCCAATATGAACAGCACCTTTTATTATACCATACTTAGTCTTTTAAACCTCAGTTGTAATTGCACTGCCTGAACTTTCCATTGAGAAGTCCTTAGTACTAGCTGGCTTCTTATTAGTCTGGATATATCGCAGCAGCCACCAGCCAAACAGGCCCTGCATAAACGAACAGACCATGAAAATAGCAAACATAATCTCACTGCCCAGATTATTAATAATCAAATCACCACCCATTATCAAGCCAAAGGATATCAACCAATTACAGAGAGACCCTAATCCAGCCGCCAAAGATACGTTCTTCTTATCCGTCAGTACTAATGAAGGCAACATCCATGGCAGTCCAGCTAGCATAATCGAAAAGAAGAAGTAGTACAAACCCGCTCCCCACCATCGACCAACCTCAAATCCATCCATAAAGAAAGGCACATAACTCAATCCAGTCGCAACTGAAGAGACCAGAATAATCCACGTGAATTTACTAGGACAAACCATCATTAAACCCACACCAGCCACTGCTCCTAACAACCCGGCCAAATCAAAGAATGTCTTAGCCGGCCGCATGGCCACCAGATCAGTACTATTGAACACCAACTTCTTAGCATTGACCAAAACAGGATTAATACCTGTTAACTGCTGCAACACATGCATCACTAAACAAGAACCAATCAAAAACAAAGACATTCTATCTGTTCTTCTCTGACTCTCATAAGAAGATCCATCGGATATCAAAACAACCTCAATACTACTCTTCTTCTCCTTAATATTCTTGACAAACAGGAGACTAAGTACCAATGAGATTGTACTAAGCAAAGTTGTTAAGTAGAAGATTAAATACGAGTAGTCACTAGGCACTATATCAACCAATCTACCCTGCAACATCACTCCTACACAGATCAGTAAACCATGGGCCGTACACACTTTCTTGCCTACGTTTTCCGGATGCACGGCCATATAGTAAACCATGCACAGGCCACAAGCAATTCCACTAGCCACACCAACCAAGAACCTAGTCAGTGTCAGAACAGCGATGTTATCACTGTGTGGCAACACTAATCCTGAAAGGGCAAACAAACCCGCACAAATCACAAACAACTCCTTGAAACGACTATGAGCCGATTTCTTGTACAAACCCGCAATGAACAGACCCATTGAGAAGATAAATGCGCCAATAAACATGGCCGAAGTCACATAGACCCAGCGATCTAACTTACTCAACTCCACGAGTACTCCTGAATTGGACAAGATCTTCCGCACACCAACTTCACTGGTATTAGTTAAGTTCATTCCAAAAAGCATTGGCAGAGCTAGTAGCCCAGAGGTTGATGCCCATCTTTTTGTAGCTGAAAGACCTTCGATTGAACTATCGCGTTCAACCAAAGTCCTATCTTTGTTTGTAGTCATATGGGGTATGAAAATATTTAGCCATATACGGACATGTTCTCCTTCCTTTTTGGGGTGTCTTATTCTTCCTTTTTGGGATTCCCGCCCAATTTACCTAATTAGGTCACTTCCCGGTTCGTCATCCAGCCGGGCCTGTGCATTAGACCCAAACCAGGCCAAATCCATTCCAATCAGTCAAATCCAAAGATCAAACAGCATCAAACTTAGCCCAAATCAATTCCAAACCAAGCTACTAACCCAATACTAACCCAATGTCAATTAAATACTAACTAAAGACTAACTCAGTTTATTCTTATTCTCAATCTGATTATGATATGGACAGGACAAAGAAGCCGGTAAGAAGTAGGAATAGGCCGCGCAGGACCTTTTCACGTAGTGATAGTTTGGTTGAGAAGTTGTTCATATCAGGGGAGAATTACTCAGCTATTTATGTGATTGAAAATGAAAGATGATTCATTAGTGCCCCACCCCTTTAACCCGTGACATCCGTAATCACTTCCCAATCGGGGCACTCTTTGAAGTCTCTTCTTTTGGTCTATTTGACACGTAATCTTTCCCGAATCACCGCAATATACCAAAAGTGGTAATATTGCGTGATTGCTATAAGTGTAAATAAACGGAGTAAAGAAGGAGTATGCAAGTAAAGAGAAGTATACAAGATATTGATTCAACAATTAGAGAAATGGACCAGCAGTACGATGCTAACTTTGGGGAGTGGGTGCGTAGCGAAGAGAACCTAGATATTCTCGCTGCCAATTTCAAAAAGTACATTACTGAATACACCGACGATACTTTTGCTGCCGTGCTGACTTGGGTCACTGGCCAGTGGAAGCCACTATCGAAGATTCTTCTCCTAAAGAAGTTATTCGCTGCCGGAATCTTCCTCTGCCGAGAGAAGGAGAACTCCGATACGCCGCGCAAGAAGATCCAAATACTTAAGAAGGTTGTTGAACATTGGACACCCGCTGATGTCTCAGATTTAATTATAGAGTTCCTAATAGATATGCAGAAAGAAGAGAAAAAGCTCTTTCTGCTTTGGCTGCTTGAAGACTTTGACCATCGTAAGCTGACTGAAATCTTCATCCGTATCGACAGTATTGTCGATTGGTCCCTCAAGATTAGCATTATTAAGAAGAGCCGTAACTTTTCAGAATTCCCAGAAGGCAACTAAGACAGCCCAATCCCATTCCTAAGCCAATTCCAGCCAGAGCTCCAAACCGAGCACTTTGATCTAAGTGCCGACTGCCCTCTACTACTTTCTCTTTGGATAAGCTTAGGAGCAGCTTATACTCCTCTGACCGACGATACAATGCTGCTAGTCGGTCAATTCGATATGAATACTCTATTAAGAGGTCAAAAACCTCTTCTCTTTCCTTATCTCGCAATAAAGCGCAAAATAGTGTAATACTTTCTTGCTCAGTCTTTGTGTACGTCATGTTTGTTTAAAAAGAATTGGACCTACCCTTACCCAGACCTTTGCAGATAGCAAATGCCTCTTTGCTTTTGATACGACTACTTTTCGGTTTCACAATTTCCACTTCGGCAAAGACTTCTTCTAAATCAGCAACTAGTTCAGCCGGTGATTCACCTGTAAATACTTTCGTAATAAAGACTCCATCAGCTGCTAAAACTCGTCGACAAATCCCTAAAGATGCCCCAATTAGTGAAGCTTGAAAATATTCATCTAAATCATGCAAACCCGTTACTTCCGGAGCTCCATCACAAAGAATAAGATCTACTTTGTCTGGAAATCGTGATAAGATCATCTGCACAGTCTCTTCTGTTGTAATATCTCCTTTAATCACCTCAACACCTTGAATTGGTTCCATTTCTTGAATATCAATTGCTAGAATCCGGCAGTTATCCGTTTGACTAGCCACTACTTGACTCCAACTTCCCGGTGCAGCACATAAATCAACCACCCCCCGGGCTCTTTTCAAAACCGGGTACTCCTCTAAAATCTCCATCAATTTATAAGCACTTCTAGCCCGATATCCTTCTGTTTTAGCTTTCCGATAGTGAATATCCCTTTGCATGACTTATGAATTCTGAAAATAATTAGCGTATCTCTACACTCACTTCATCCCATCTTATCTCATCTTATCTCTACACTACTCAATAGAATACAAGATAATATTCAACTCAACTAACTCAATACTCAACTAACTCATCACATCACAATACAATACAATACAACATCAACTTTAATTAACACAATCAATACTCAACTAAACTCAATACTCAACTAATTCAATACTCATCTCAATACTCAACTAAACTCATCACCCAACTCATCACACAATACAATACCAAACCAAACTAATACTAACTTAAACTAACTTAACCTAAACTAACCCAATTTATTCCTCGTCCTTAGTTGGCTCCTCTTCAACTACTTCCTCTTCAACTACTTCCTCTTCAACTACTTCTTCACCTTCTTCTTCTGGACCAGAGAACTTAACTCCTTTGATAAGTTCAACAATCTCATCCAGAGCTTTACGATCTCCATCTTCCTCCACTCGTTTTACTAAGTCTTTAATGTTAATTCCTTTCTGACTTAAGACTTGAGTGATAGTCTCAAGATCGTAAGAAGGTTGTCCTCCTTTGTTAAGAACTTCACCTCGGCCCCTAATAATGTATCCTACTGGTTTGTCATCCTTATGGAAGACGGCTGAAACATCAGGAGAAGAGTAGTTGATAACTGTTCCTTCTTGACCCATAAAACTGCAGTTCTCTACTTCAGATACTGCTTGTGTTCGATATCCTAAACCAGTTAAAGCTTGTCCTAATTTAGCTGAATTGTCTACTTTAACTTCTTTCTTTTGAATCATCCTTCTTGGTGCTTTCTTGCCTCCAATACGTACAGCTTGTAGCGGTCCCTTCATTGCAATTAAAAAAATCAACTGAATATGTACTGGGGCGGGTTGTGAGGGGGTTTGGAGGTGTGCTGAGACTGAGTGCTGGATGTATTAGTAGTTGGTTTGGTCTGGGATTGAGTTTTGGAGAAGTTGGTGTTGTAGGAGAATTGGGAGGTAGAGATCGGCAAAAGTAACCCCCTGCAAATGTATTATAAAAGGATGTTATTGGTAAGTTAGCTTTTGAAATAGAAGAATTAAGTTGAGTTTGGTATTGAGTTGAGTTTGAAGTTGGTATTGTGTTGGTGTGGGTTTGGAGAAGTTGGTATTGTATTGGGGTTTGGAGAAGTTGACTGTTGCGATTTGCTTTTTTGTCGGTTGGATTTTGGTGGTGATAAACCTTGTTGGTCTGTTTATTTGTTTTGATTTGATTTGATTGTAATAAATCACCTAGATAAATATATATCTTATTGGGTTAGTATTGGGTTAGAAGGTATATGAGGTGTTATAGTGGTTTATTGTATAATGGTTCAAATATTACCTGGTTGCTGGCTTGGGATGGTTTATTTGGTCTTTACATCTTGTAGTTGACTTAATACTAACTCAATCTATAATTTGGAAGTTAATGGTTCTTTAGATAGAAAACAGTAAATTATGATCTTGCTCTTTTTTCTCTGATTTTGGTTTATCTTAAATCTTATCTCTAGTAAGTATTGGGTTGTGTTGGTATTGGGTTGTGGTGATTGGGTTGTTGATTTTAGATTGAATATTGCTTTGTTAAGAGTTATTGAGTTGGGTTGGTACTGGGTTAAGAATTATTGTTTGGTTTTTGGCTAATAAGTTTGGTTTTTGCTTAAACCTTTATTTGACTTGTCATTTCCTTTTTGGGTAATTTCTTTTTTATGATTATGTCTAATCAGAGAATGATTGATAGTTATTCGTTTAAGAGCTGGTATTTTGGCGCGACTGGATGTTGGCTGATTAAGTTGTGTGCCTTGTTGGTATGCTTAAATGTTATTGTTGGTGCTGGTGATATTGATGGTATTGATAGTACACCAGTGCATACGCAAGTAGATATTCCTGGTCAAGAGGAAATAGTTAAAGCTCTAATTTCGATTGGCTTTTGCTTGAATGAGTCCGCCACGGACTTACACTGCCTTCCTTATACTACTACGCCAGTAAATGAGTTGTCTTCTGAATCTAATCCAATTCCGAACTCATCGGATCACCTGCCAAAAAATGCTCCTCTGTATGTAATAGAGCGCATGATCTCACGTCTTGATTTTACCTTACCTTACTATCAAGATTTAGTTAAGGTTACTGATGATTTGGAAATGTTAAGAAAGATTGGGGTTTTAAGGGTTGACACGGCCCGAGTTAATTACGCTTCTTCTAATCCACTTTTCCATCAAGAGAACTTAATGGTACTTTCCCGAGTTGTTAACCTGTTTGACTGTAGATCTTTGGAAATTTGCTTTGGTGATAATCAGGATATGGATGTTAATGCTAGCCAGATGTATTTTGATGTCTGCCAGCGAGAAGCACTGGAAGTAACCAAATGGGCTGAATATAAGACTGATTGCACACTTGTATTTCTAAGCAAAACCAATAGCAGTATCTCCAAATTGATAGATAGTGGTATTGTCTTGTTGCGGCCGATGTCAGGTGTCCGTCTAGTGGAGGAGGAAGCCAAAGATACTTGTCTTATTGGCCGATTGCCATTAAAAGATGGATATAGGATCCACCTGCACGATTTGCCCGACCCAATTGCCCTTGATTTTGGCTTTCTACAAAACCCTTCTCCTCGATGCAGTATGATTGCTATTAATGAGAATAAGAATAAGAAAGCTACTGTAACGGGACTTGAGCATGCTATTGATAACCATCCAGACATAACTTTGTATGTGAGTTGGCAGTTCATCCGTAATTTAGATGAAAACACTGACTTGCAAATCCGAGTTCATACTATTAAAGGGCTGGATGTTGAGCTGTTCTCAATTAATCCACTATTTGCCCCCTCGCCAAGTCAAGCGCCCTATAAACCCCGAATATTTGCTACCAAGCTTGTTTCTAGCATCGCTCCTCTAATGCCATGTGATCCAAATGATCCCTATATCCGAGCTTGCTCCCTTGATGCTTATCCCAAATACGGAATTGTCCCGAGTGATGTCACTTTTGAGTATGAGATGCCTCGACTTGATTTGTCTACTACCTTAAACATGCTTCATTCCATTGATGCATTGCCAGAAACACTAGCGGATACTGAATTGAATAATGTTTACTGTACTGGTCATGATCTCAGCCTCCCCGGTTGGACTCTTCAGGAAACTGTTGACATTCGACTTGATGTTGACAACTTAGGAAACCTTCTCCAGCAATACCAACGCTCCTACATTAACCACTTCTGTCAGAATATGAAATATCGGGACATCAAGATTGCCGGAGGACAAACCCCAACTCAAAAACAAGTCGACGATTGCCTTCGACTTCTAGCCCTATTCCGAAATCTTAAGACCCAAAAGCTCGAGATCTTGAATGTTCGCAATGCCAATCAAGATGCCACCATGTTTGATCTGCCTGCTATAAAGGAAAGGATTGATCGGCTGGATAAGTACCGTCTTGAAATTAAGACTTTGATCTTAAACAATGTTGATGGTGCGATTATTAATTGGATAATGGCCCGTTGCATGTTTGCCGACTTGGTGGAAATCCAAATTTTGAATCAGCACTACCCTACCCTTGCCATCGTGCAAATACTCGCCCTCCCTATTGCTGAGAAGATCAAAACACTCACACTCAACAACATCCATGACTTAACTGAAGTTAAACAGTACCCGCAACGAGTGCTAAGCAAGGAGTTCTCAATGTTTAGCTACGTAAACAATGCAACAGCCGCCGGTAAAACAACTCAAGACCTTGGTCTAGAAAAGGTGTTTTTACAAGTGCGTGATGTTGTTGGCTCAACATGTGGCGGTATTTTGCCTGAGTATGCGGGCTATGGTATTAACGTACCCACTATGCTATTTGATGACTATCTTCTAATGCTATCAACAAAGTCTGTTGTTAACCGGACCAACAAGCTGGAATTTCTTCTTTACGGTGCCACTCTAAATGCTTTGGTATCGGATTTCACTAACTGCCAATCCCGGCAACTGCCAAACCAAAAAAGCTCCATTACCGAACTTTCCGTCTGCTTTACTGACAACCTGCCTTTGGCTGAGCCTACTTTAATAACCATTATTCGCTGGGTGGCCTGCCGATTTAAAGATGTGACTACTTTACGACTAGTGAATGTTACAACATCTACAAACGATCTTAATGTGATGAGGGCCCGTAATTATCTGATCTGTGGATTAGATGCGCTCAGTAGTATTTTCTTGGAGAATTCCGACCTGAATAGTCCTGTTGATTCATCTGTTGAGTTGTTAATCCGACCTCACCGAATTGGCCTCTTGGCCAATGTCTCTCAGCCCGAGCCTGAAGCTATTCAAATGTCATACCCAATGCTACCCCAACTATTAGCCCACATTGATCACCTTAATGTGCTTACTCCCAGTACGACTGGACCTAACAAGGTTCTCTCGGCGGTTCTGAAGCGTTATCAGGACAATCTAAACAGCTCCGAACCCTTTGAGTGTTCCATTTGTTGCAGAACGCCTTTGGTCCTAAATAGAAGCGAACAAACTTCTAACCAAGTGCAAACTGAGTCCGTGCCTACACTTCAATCTGATTCCTTAACTCACCTCACCATAATGTGTTATTTCAAATGTGGGCATGGCGTCTGCAGTAATTGCGTGATTGGTATTCACAGCCGGCCTAACAATCCGTGCCCAATTTGCCGTAATCCCAATGTGTGTGAGAACATTCACCGACTGGTAAGTGCCCCGCTATCTTGTTTTGTCTTTGCTGACGACAGTCTCAACACGCCAGCCCCACATCCCGATTGGCCTAACAACCTCGCCTGCAGTGACGAACAGGTATATTTGTACCTCTCTTATCGAGACGGTACTGGCCTTGCCGTCATATTCGATGGTGAGGTGGCATACAGTGCCCCAGGAGAAATCCACGTCATTTAGTCTAAGATGAATAAATCAACTTGGTCAACAGCTCTATTATTTGGCCGACTTAATGCTGAAATTAGCGTTAGAAGATTTCATCGGATAATCTGTTCAGTAGAGAGTCCCTTGGTAAATGGAAGATATACTGTTTTCGACTTCTTTGTCATTACGAGCAATTTGATCCTCGGATTACCTCCCTCCTAAATTGTTAATTTGGTGCGGCGCTTTTGATTGCTCGGCATAATATCTTATCTCTGCACCGAAAGTGGGCCATACTGCTAATAATAGTCTAGTTGGGTTAGTAGCGAATTGGATTTAGTCTGCTCGTAACATAGGATTAGTATTAAAGATCTAAACTGTGTGTTTATGTTAATTCACTATAAAAGGAAACTATCTGAGAAATCGACATTTAAGCTATATATATACAAAACTAACCCAAACTAAATTCAAAACCAAACTCAATTCAGTTTCATTTTTATTTTATCTAGACTTAGATCTAAACCTAAACTCTTTATTTAAAACCAGCAAACTTATCTAGGACTCTATCAATATTTATCTTATATTCAGCCATAATTGTAATAGTTTCAACACCAGTAGCAATTTCCATCCTTATAATAAGCTTGCACCGACTAACCCAATACTCACCTAATAGTTAGAGTCAACCCTGGCTTATTTATCAATAGCTGTGATATTATGTTTATAAAGGGCGCTAAGCATGGGTTATGAAAGCCGATAAATAAATCGTATCATATTGGGCTGGAATGGTTTGATTTGGGTTAGTATTGTGCAGATAGCACATTTCCTTATAGATAACACCTTATCACCAGGATATCTATACCAACCCAATAGTTTCTATGACTAATACAAATTCCAGCAATGACATGCCTCGATACGATGTACTCGGCCCTTTATTGAATGTAGACGATGATGGAAACGAGAATGACGTCATACTCAAATTTTAATAATACGGCTAATATTGGGTTAAATTTTGATATGATTTGGATTCTCTACTAACCCAACCATAAGCCAATACTAATGCGATCGGTCACTAAATAAATGATTTAGTGTGAGGAAGGAGTAGTGGTTGTGTAATGGCACTACAATATCTTATTTTTTCTTTTCCTAATCTATGTTATTATCTAGATATATGAATAAGCCCTCAGATAACAGTGCCCAAAACAAGCCGAGGTTTGTACTAGGATGTTTTTCTGTACTTCAGAGCATTCTGGTTAGTGGATACGGCACAGCACTAGATACTTTAATTGGTCTCACCACTACCGACAAACCCTATCGCGTCAAATCAATTAAGTATTGGGTATTGGGAGTGTGTGCCTTACTAGTACTGTTTAATAGTGTTAGTGGGTCAAACTGGTCAGGCGAATCAGACGTATTAAGTGAGTCTAGTGCTGATACTGGTTATTATGAATACGATAAACATCTTGAAGCAAATGGGCTAAGTGAATCTAGTGAATCCAGTGAATCCAGTGAATATAATGCGTCTAGTGAAGATAGTGGGGATAGTGGCTGGTATAGGTTTGAGGATAATGCGTTACAGATAAAATCCCAAGTAGGGCCTTTAGAGGCGAGTGATGTTATTGAACTCCTGGAAACACTCGGGTTTGACTTTGGAAAGCAGCGGGCCATAAAAATCAGTCGATACCATTTTAACCAATTCAATCCAACCATCTCTAATTCTAATACCAACGCAAGCTTATCCATAGATTCCGACAACCTTCCTGAATACGTAATAGAAGATTTAGGGACGCAGATTGGTTTCTCTCTACCACACTATTCAACTATAGAGGAGGCTCAGGATGCTTTGAACAAACTAAGAAAGATTGCTGTGATTAGAACGAACACTGCGTATATTACATGCTTTGCAAGCTATGAACCGCGCAAGTCAATAACGATGCAAATTCTCACTCGAGTGGTTCACGTATTCGACTGTGTGAGGCTTCATCCCTGCTTTGATGCGATCCAGGAACAGCCCTGGGGGTCGACTGAGATCGATACAGAAGCTTGCTGGGAAGAAGCGATGAACACAATTGGCCATGCCAAGTATGAATCCGAGTTCCAACTAGAGTTTGTAACTTCAGAAAAGCGGTTTATTCAGGATTGGATATGCAGCGGGATTGTCATTCTCCGGCCAATTTTCGGGGTTTGTTTAGGCGAATATGAGTATTATACAACATCACTCCTTAGCCAATTGCAGTTTGTCAACGACTATATCATTTCTTTTGAGCGTTTACCTAATGAGGCAAACATGGACTTAAGTTTCCTGGCAACATCGACTTGTAGATGCAGCAAGATCATTATCAAAAACACCAAACCAATGAGGATATCAATTATAGGTCTTGAAGATGCTATTCTCAAGCATCCTATGATTATTCTGGAGATCAGCTGGTCTAATCTTCAATACCTGGGCACATACAACAAGACCCCAATCAATGTTCATACTATTCTAGGCATTGAGACTACCAGCGACTCTTTTAATGACATGAAAGATGCCCGCGAATATATGAAATGCATGACGCCTCTGCCACCACGGGTATTTGCCACCAAGATTATTGCCACAATCTCCACCAAAACCCCATGTAATGTCTTGGACTATTACAAACAATTATACACCGTTGATGCATATGCCATCTATCGAATCAAAGTTGATAAGGCCGAAGTCATCTATGAAAATGGAAGAGCTGATTTGTTTGAGACCTTAGATATGCTCTACAGAGTTAATGCATTGCCAGACATCCCAAAGGAAGTTCAGAGAAACCATCTTATTGGCGGCTGCGAGAAGCTTAGTACCAAGTGGCCACTTCAAGATAATGTGAACATTTATTTAGGCCATCCAGATTTAGACATCTATCTTGACAACTATAAGAAGGCCCGTCTATACTTCTGCCAGAATATACGTTACAAAACCATTAAGATTGACGGCACCCAAGCACCACAAAAAGACCAAACCACCTTATGTCTTGACCTCCTGGCCCTTTTCCAGAACATGGTGGCAGACGAACTCATAATCAAGAATGTACGTACCTGCATCCAGATCACGACTAGTTTTGATATGAAGACTCTAAATCTAAAGAAAGAAGCCATTAAAGAGCCCAAGCACCAAATCAGTGTCAAGAAATTAGTATTAGACACAGTTGATGAAGAGATTGTTTACTGGATAGTAAGACACTACGAATTTATTAGCCAAATAGAGTTACACATTCTAAACCAGCGCTTTACGGACATGGGCATTATTCAGATTTTAGCAGATCCACAAGGCCAATTTATTACCTTGCTTATGATTAACGGATTCCAAGGATTAAATGAGGTTGTGTATCAGAACCAACGAGATATAATAGAAGGTTTCTCTGTCTTCAGGTACATTGAGGAAGCTTCACAAGGAAATAAATCCGCAGAAACAACCGGGATACATAAGCTGGTTTTACAGCTCAATACTACAGAAATCAGCTTGCATAGTGAGCTTTTACAGGAATTCAGGCAATATGGAATCGGATATCGAAAGACTCTCGACCAACCCAAGTACATAAGTGAACTAAGTTATTTTCGCCAAGTCATTGCGTCAGACGATCAAAACATACACATCGCCAATCTTAATTTCGAAAGTATCAAAACCGATTTCTTCAGTCTCCAAGCCCAAGTCCCAACTCTTTTTCCACGATCTAATCTAGCTTTAAATCCAAACACCAACACCCAGAGTTTAACCATAGACTTCAAGCCCGATTTATTTCTCACTGAACCCATCATAGCAACTATTCTGCGCTGGGTATCTTGTCGATTTGCAGGCCTGCACGAGTTAATTGTCAGAAACAATGTTATATTCGAAAACATTCGATGGCGGTTGCGGGGCCGCGTGCATCGATTTCTCGGCCTAGACCCAGAGCTTTGTATTCGCTTTATGGGCAAACCAGGACAAGAGGTTGAGTTATTGGGATGGCAATCTCTAAGAGTCAAGTTCAGCTTCTACGCAGACGTCCATGATCCCACAGCAGAACTCACTGCCGTATCGCACACAACCATCTCTCGATTGGTTGCACAGGCCAGTTCTCTTCAAGATACTATTCCCGCGCACATGGCCCCCAAAGCAACCCTCAAGATGCTCATCAACTCTGTTGAGATGCGCGAGAACGACCCATCGCGCATTGAGTGTTCCATTTGTTTTCGACAGCTTTATATCCCCCAGGACAAAGAGGAAGGCCAACTATCCATTGACTTGCAAGATACATTTAACCCAGAAAATCACATCGATACATTCTGCTATCTCAGATGCGGGCACTCATTCTGCTATATGTGCATATGGGAATACACTAAGAAATGCAATACACCACCAGAACCAACATGTCCCGTCTGCCGAGCACGTAACGTATTCCAAGCAGGTCACCATCTTATAAGTATTCCCTTTCACTGTTTCATCTTTGTCAATGATTGCAGCAACGTATTAACCGGTGCTTACGAATGGCTCAAATCTATCACATTCGGGGACAATTATGTATATATGTACTTTACGTACCCAACTTTCACTGACCTTTGTTCTACCCTCGCCTTTACTCTATCAAATGACGCCGACTCTATGGTCTACCTTGTTTAAATACAGCCCAATAAGTCAGTAGGGATATTGTGTAAATATAGAAGTATGTCGTGTTGGTAAGTAGCTACATACCGTTTTCAACCAATACCAAATCAATACTAACTTCTACCAAGACATAATCAGACCGGACGCTCATAGGATTTATTGAATAAAGCATCAACTGGGTATGGCGTGTTATAGCATCAAATTGAGTTGGTATCTTCTTAAACCAAATACATCATATATTTGTAGTTTGAAGTTGTACTCTACCAATCTCTAACTCAACCCAACCCACTACTAACTTGTGTGTATCTCCCGTGAAATATACTATAATGCAATACACAGCTTATACACTAACCCAATAGAATGGCGGTAGATACTCTAAGCCCCACAAAGTACATAGAAACCCAACCACTTACTCCAAAACCAACCACTTACTCCAAAACCAAGCACAAATCTATCTAACCAACCAATTAATGCTTCAATCTAACCACAAAAACACCGCCATCATTCTAAGTTTACCCCCGTCCCAGCTGAATTAGTATAACAAGATAAGTATGACCACCAAAAAGGCCAGCAACTTCCATACTACCTCAGTCTAACTCAACACCAACACAATACCAACACAATACTAACACAATACCAATAGAATATAAAGACCACACTAACTCTTTCAATGTTTATTGAGTTGCTACTGTATTTGAGTTACCCCTACTAATCCAACCCCGCACTAACCTCTAATTACCACTTAACCAAATCCATCTAGTTAGTACTTAGTAGTTACTATCTAGTTAGTACTTAGTAAGTTGATAAGTTGATAAGCCACTTAATATGAATAGGGTGAGGAGGGTGAGGAGGGTTGGGAGTGAATTAGTTAATACGGCGGCTTGGTCTAGTGGTATGATTTGTGCTTCGGGTGCACGAGGTCCCGGGTTCAATTCCCGGAGCCGCCCTTTTTCTTACTAAGAAAGACTCAGACTCTTAATCCCCTCAGCATCAACATAGAAAGCCGTTCCCTCCCCATCTTCCAGCCGACTCTGACAAAGAATACCTTCCCGAGAGACTGAAACAAGCATACTTTGATCTGAACTGTAAACCAACTGAGTAATATTCTGCAGATGATCAGTAGCTAAGTCTTTACTAAACTCATTCTGCATATCTACTATTTTGATCTGGTTCTTATAAGCCACAGCTACATATACCTTATCCATCTGTCTAAAGATAGTAGCACATCTAGGACTAGCTTTAGTTTTAACTTCTTGCACTAACTGACCAGCTGAATCGAACAAGTAGGCCGATTTAGCCGTTCCCGATAGAATTCCAAAGACTTTCTCTTCTTCATTAACAAAGAGTGTATCTGGATACTTAATAGGCAAAGTAATCTTTTCTATCTCCTTCAAAGTCTTATCAAAAATAGATAACTTATTCTGATAAAGAACTAATAATAAACCCATAAAAACCTTCGTATCAATAATTTTGTTTTTGAACGGTTTTTCTTTGATCAATCGATTAGTATCTAATAATTCTAACCAATCTCGACCTACTAAAACCACTCGATCACCCAATAAATGCACATCCACTATCTCTCTAAAAAGATGCAATCTGCGAATTTTACCATTCACTTGAATTTCCAAATACTCTTTGATCTGAGTAGCAGTATATTGAGGAGTTCTTTTGTAGTAAGAAACATCACTTCTAAGCACTTCAACTTCTTCTTTTTCGGGCACAAGATGCATAAGACGCCGATTACCAGTTAATATGTCCATAAAACTTTTAGTGAATGAGATGTGTATTTGTGTTGTGGTTATGTTTAGTCACTTATCTAGCTACTATTTCTGAACAATTTGAGTCTATTCCTAAGTATACAAAGTCTGATCTAGTTAGTCCTGATCCAATTCTACTTTTTATCTACTATGATGGTCAAGATAAAGGCAAATGTATGGCTTGTGAAGGATATAAACAATGGTTAACTCAATTACGTCATCAAATTGGTGTATTTAAAATCAAAAGACTTAATTTCTATACTTCACCTACTTTAGTGTTAAGATTTAAAACAACTAACTTTCCTACCTTCTTCCTACAATATCAGCAAGAGTTCAAAAACATCACTGATGTTGATTTCTTTAATTTAGGACTACGATATCACAACAATCGATATGCTAATGATATTGATGCTATTCTTAAAAATCCACAAGTTCTTGATAGGATAACTACTCTTAAAGGTCTAAAAGCCCCATCTTCCATTTGCTCTTTGATTTATGCCCAAGTCCTAGCTGTCTTACTAAGTACAGCCCATTGTCTGGACATTCTTCATGCCCTTATACCCTACTGGGTACTCTTCCTGACCATACTTGTTCTTCTTCTAGCTGCCCGTCTTTGCAAACGATCGCCTACAACTACTGCCGATCAGAAGAATAAATAGTCCAACTGTATTAAGTTAAGTTAAGATTTGGTTGAGTTGAGTTGAGTTGAGTTAAGATAAGATTTAGTATTGTATTAGTATTGTATCATTAAATCACAACTACTCTTTCTTTAGATAGCAATCTTATTTATTGATTAATGTACTTTTGACGTACTAACTCCAGATCAATTCAATCCGAACTCGAAATTACTAAATGACGTCATCTTCAAACTTATCATTTATACACTCACTAAAGATATGAGTTTGGGTTGTGATTGAGTTGCGTTTGTGTTAAGTTATGTTATGATTGAGTTACTCCCAGAAATCAACCATACCCATGCAGACTGTATAATAAGATAAGATAAGATAAAGATAAGTTAAGTTAAGTTTTAATAAAGATAAGATAAGATTAAGTTAAGACAATATACTAACTCAACTCAACTTAACTCAACTCAATCATAACTTAACTCAACTTTATACTAACCCAATACTAAATCAATTTAAAATCAAAATAATCTATTCATAATTATAGATAAGATATAGATAACAAAATCAAAATCAAAATCAATTTAATCTAACTCCACCCCACCTAACTCAACTCAACTCAACCTAACCCCACCCCACCCCAACTTAACCTAACTCAATCTAATACTATATAGAGTGTACGTTTTCTTTTTTTTTAATGTGGAACCAACAAAACGATTACCAGCATATGAATTCTACTCCCCAACCGAATCAAAATCAACCGAATCAAAATCAACCCCAACCAGAAATTCCAGTAAAAAAGATAGTCTTAATAGGTGATGGAGGTACAGGTAAAACAACTTTTGTTAAAAGACATATAACTGGTGAGTTTACACGTAAATACGTTGCAACAATAGGAGCAGATACGTATCTCTTACCTTTCTTTACTAATTATGGCCAAGTTAACTACAATCTCTGGGATACAGCTGGACAGGAAAAGTACGGCGGTCTTAGAGATGCTTATTATATTGGAGCGGATGGAGCTATTATTATGTTTGATACAACTTCACGTATTACTTATAAGAATGTCCCTAACTGGTATCGAGATCTACGTAATATCTGTCCTACTATTCCTGTTTGCATTTGTGGGAATAAAGTAGATGTGATAGATAGGAAGGTTAAACCTGCTAATATGAAGGGTAGAAAAGGGATGGTAGCAACGTATTTTGATATTAGTGCGAAGAGTAATTATAATTATGATAAGCCGTTCCTTTTCTTTTCTCGGAAGATCTTTAATCTGCCTGATCTCTTCTTTGTGGCTAATTCTAATCTGTTACCTCCTGAGGCAACGGTAGATGAAGTCTTACTGGAGAAGATGCAGAAGGAGTTTGAAGATGCCTCGGAGCAGGCACTGCCGGACTTTGAATAAAGTAGCTAGTTTGGTTTATGTTTTTGATTAGATATGATATGATTTTGATTTTGATTTAGATAAGATTTTGATTTTGATTTATTACTTTAACAACTTAGTACTAATATAATACCAACTCATTGCAATACTACTACTAATATAATACTAACTCAATGCTAACCCAATAGGACATACCTGGTCTGAAAGGCGGGAAGAAAATTACCTTATTGGGTAATTTTCCTGTCTATAAATAGACCTGAACATGAATAAATACGAGAGTTTAAAATGATGGACCGCAGAAGTCAACTGAAAGCGTTTAATATGCCAATCAACAGAGAGAAAACTTCACCATTCCTCAAAGAAGTTGACCTCCTAGGTCACCACCACCTCAGCCATAATCGGATACGTTCCACAGCCGATCGCACCCAAGGAATTAGGGACTTTCCTGTTCCAAAGACAGTATGTGACGTAAGGCAAGATGAATATACGACACTGGAGGAAGGGGAACTTACTACACTTCTTAACTTCCTTGAGTACAATGAAGATGAAGAGACATTTGCCGAGTGGGAAGGCCTGCTGGACGGAGATGTCTCGTGGGAAGCAATGCCACCTTCAGCCCGCATCTGGGCCTTAATCAAACATGGACAAACACGAGATCTGGACCGTTTCCGCGCGATGAGAATCAGACTAGTCAAGCTAGCTAGGGAGCTCCGCAAACTGGAAGGGGACGAGGCAGATTCCGAAGAAGTGCTTTGGACAACCGCACGACGTCAACTTATTGAGATATTCCACTCCACCAATGAGGAACAGTGGACGATACCACCCCTCAAGAAGAGCGACAGCATATACCTCTGGAGCCTTATAGTATGGGGTCTATATCTGGACAAGAAAATCACGTGGGCACACATTGTGAAAGATATCGAATCGACAGTGCCCCACTCGAATTTAGCGGGAAAGGTTTTCGATCCAACCAAACCGGATTTACGTAGGTTTGTGGATCTGTGTGCGGCAATAGACAACAAGGAAAAGGCTACCAGGCGATCTCAAGCTGAAGCAAATAGGAAAACTGGAACCTCGAACCCCCGTTTGAACCTCGTCTGTACGTACTGCAAGAAGAAAGGGCATAAGGAAGAAGAGTGCTTTACAAAGAAGAACAAAGAGTCGAAAGAGACTAAACCCAAAGCTAAGTTGACGTCTTTGGAACCGCAAATGAGGACGAACATACCTCTACCGGAAGAAGATAAAGTCGAAATAGAAGGACCGTGCATCGCTGAGTTCACCCTAGGTTCAGGAAAACCAATGAGTGGAACATATGTCACTGGATCCCAACTTAACGTGATTAATTGGGAGATGTATGAGCAGTTAGTACAAGAGCAGGGACCGATACAGTGCTATAAACCAGAAATAACATCTCTGTATAGCGTAAACGGAAAGGAAGTGAGAACCGAGAGCCTAATTGTTCTGCCGATGAGCGTAAAAGGAGTTGAAGTCGGAAGACAGCAATTCTATATTATCCGAAACAAGAGGCTGGATCAACCCTTAATAGGTCTACCTGCTATCCGAGCATACGAAAGCCGGATAGATGCACTCAAGACAAAAGTACAACTAGATAAATATCCGATACCGGAATTCTTACCATCACTGATGCACTAAGAGATACTACCGTGTTCTCCAAGATCGATTTAAAGGAAGGGTTCGTCAATGTTCCCCTACGAAAGAGTGATCGAGTTAAAGTTAGCAATCTAATACTAACTCAATCTAACACCAACTCAATCTAATACCAACTCAATCTAATACTAACACAACCCAATACTAACTCAATCTAATAATAAACTTATCTTGATTTTACCTAATTGGGTAGTGAAGGCGTGCTAGAGAAGAAGATAGTAGAGATGGTTGAGATAGTTGGAATAATTGAGATAGTAGAGATAGTTAGGAGTAAATAAATTAGAAGTGCTACTATGTTGATTGGATTAAGTTGATTGGTGGTACTATGTTGATTGGGTACTATGTTGATTGGTGGTAGTGCGATGATGGATTGGCCAAGGTTTCCTTTTTGGGAAATGGGGCTTAAACTCATATGTTTTTTCCAACATTAGACTGATGGTAATCACAGAAATGGCTCGTAATAGAAATCGGAAGAAAAAGATCTCTTTAGTATTTGGATGTGTTGTCCTACTTGTGCTTTTGACTATACTAGGACTTATAAACTTTAGACGGCGGGTGGTAAGGAAGAAGGTTCATACTCATATTTATGGGGTCAAAGATCAAAATCTCTATGAATCAATGAAACTTACTAATGGAATGAGAGTGGTGGTAATTAGTAATCCGATGGCAACTCAGGCGGCTGCTGCACTTTCTGTTGGTGCTGGATTGAGTAATGATCCGGTTGAACATCTTGGATTAGCTCATTTACTTGAACATATGCTGGTTATGGGTAGTGATAAGTATCCAGAGGAAGACTACTATGTTAATTGGATTAGAAGTAAAGGTGGGAGGTATAGGGCACAGACTACTCTTTTTGAAACCAAGTACTTTCATGCTCTGCCGGCCGAGTATGGTAAAGAAGCCCTTTCTATTCTTAGCCGGTTCTTTATTGAGCCACGCATGAGTGAAACTGTTCTGGATCGGGAAAAGAAGGTAGTTGATAGTGAGATGAAAAGGAATCTTACAGATCAGAATACACGTCGTCTTGTTCTAATGAGTAATTTCATCAAAAAGACCCATCCTATGTCCAAGTTCAATATTGGTTCAGAAAAGACTCTAGCTAAGACAACTCGAGCTGATTTAATGAGTTTCTGGAAGTACCATTATACTCCTCGGAATATGACTCTGGCTATTTTCGGCAAGGAGAGTCTGGAGGAGTTGAAAGGGTATGCTACTGAGTTCTTTAGTGATGTTAAGGAGTATACAGAGGCTAAATGGGAGTTTTCGGGTGAGCCTACTCTGATTAAACCTACTACTAAACGTGATCCTTTTGATAAGTCTTATGATATTGGAACTAAAGAGACAAGTGGTAAGATTGTGTACTACCGACCGAATGAAAGTAAGGAATCTAGTACTCGGCTGACTATTTACATCTTTTTACCAGCAATGCGGCTTGCTTATCGGGAACAGACTTTACACTTTTTGATCAAGATGTTGGAGAATGGTAATAAGGGAAGTCTTAATTCCATTCTTTTGAAAAACAATGTTACATCTTCTGGTGACGTATTTGCCCAAATGGAAAGGGATTCAACTTATTTTGCTGTTTATTACACTTTAATTGATGCTACTCCTGAGAAGATTGCTAGTGTTTTGAATTTGATTGAAGGCTATCTTAAGATGATCAAAGAAAATGCCACTGAGAAGCTCTATCAGAAATACGCTAGGCTTATGCAAAATCAAAAACAGTGTATTACTCCGGACGATCAATTACAAACCACTATCCAAATAGCTACTAGTTTGCCCTACCGTAAACTTAAGGACGTTTTCACTGGTGATTATGATTGGACTAGTTTCAACAAAGAAGATTTTGGGTTTATCCTTAGTATTATGATGGATCGTTCTAACTGGCTAGTTATGGTTGAAACTAGTACTCTTTTCTTAGGTAAACCACTCTTATCTGATCAGCATTTTGGTCTTAAGTATTTCGTTGAAAAGGTTTCTAATGTAACTGATGCGGATATTGACGCACTACAGAGTCAACTTGCTTGGGTTACTACGGACTTTGGCGAAGAGGTAGATTTCTCTACTGCTCGGGGCCAGAACGTGTCTTACGCTTTGGGGACGGCCTTTAAGAACATCAAAGAATACGAGATGCCTTCTGATAAGGATATTGAGCATTTCTCCATTACTGAAGATGGATTTGAAGCCCATTTAATTCACAAACAAGATATTCGTTCTAAAGAGGCGTACCTTACTCTGTGCTTAGGATGTATTGATATTTACAAGAACATAAGCGCTTACGTTTCTTTCATTGGGTATGCCGAGGCATTTACAAGCAACTTCCTTCTTGCCCATAAAGAAGACATGCAGATGTCTGGTGTATCACTCAAACCTATTGTTGAGGATTTCGGTGCGGCTTTACTTACTTTTACTGGCAACCCACTCGCACTTGAGGATCTGATTAGAATCTTCCTAAAAGAGTTCAACGAACAGAAAGAAGAACTGCTTATTCAAACCAGTAATATGGCCATGGCCAAATACGATGCCTTAAAGCACGAAAGTCCGAGTAACAGACTCTTTCTGGGTCTGATTCGGAGTAAAAACCGTTACACATATCTAGATGAAGAGGAGTGTATTGAAGTAGCCCATGATCTAACCATTAACGAGTTCTTCTCTATCACTGAAGCAGATATTAAGCTTTATGCCATTGGCAATCTTACTCAATCCGAATTCACTCGTATTTGTCAGTTGATCAAAGATACTATCAAACCCAATACCCAAAAGAAGCTTGATTTGGAAGGACCACTATTGAACCACGTTGATGTGGCCATACAGGACCAGGAAAACATTGCCCTCTTAATATCTCACGAAATCACTAAGTTTACGCCAGTCAAAAACCTCGTGGTTGCTGATTTGATCGGTCAGGCTATGTCCAGTAAGTTCATCGATGAATTGCAGACCAAAAAAGGGCCTGGGTACGTGGCTCAGATGAACTCCAGGACTTTGTTTTCGCAAAGCCATCTGAACTGGTTAGTTCAAGCCAACAGTCCTTATGAAAAGATCCAGACCGAAATACTCCAGTTCATTGCTGGCCTGTCCGCAGCATTCCAGCGCCTCTCCCCTGCAGAGTTTGACACGATTAAGCAAGCATTGATTGCTACCTACCAACAAAAGGCCAGCAACGCACAAGAATACATCAACATACATCTTAACTTTTGGCGCTTCCATGGTTTTGACCTCGGCCATTGCGATGAACTAGTCAAAATAGTCACTACCATAACCAAAGATGAACTGGCTAACTATTGTGCCACCGAAATTGTCAAAAGCATCACTGCTGTACTTGCTTCCAACAAAGTGACTACAACCTTATGTCTTCCTTAAATATAACAATAAAGCATTTTGATAAGATATTATGATCCGAATTAGTCAATCATTTATTTGGTTGCTGTGGTGTCCTCGCCGGCCTCCACTTCAAAGTGAGCTATCTACTGGGACAAAGTTCTGTAATGTTTATCGGCCTGCCACTGATCGCAGCGAACGCGATTAAAATCTCGAAGTAGAAATCACAAGCTCAGAAGATAAATATAACCAGAGCTTGCGGGCTATCTCAAGATGATGCACGATGAAGAGAACCAAACCTATAACCACATATCTGAGACTCCCGAAGAATCAGAGTTGAATAAATCCACCCGCTGCCTCCTTCAAGATCGGTCTTTAGTTGAGTGTGCTTGGTTGACAGACACTATCCCTTCCTCGGGGCCCGACACTGACCAATCAAAAGATGTTCTTAACCAGCTTAAAGCCCCAAGCATTTATGAACGTCTAATCCAAATCGTAAGACAAACCATTCGCTGGTCCCTTTTATTAGTTTGCTTCTTCTACTTTGGCGTTCTTCTGGCCTCTTACGGTTACTTCCAGACACTCGGATTCTTCCCTTTACTTGGTCTCTTCATTGGGTTTGTTTTGACCACTATTGTTTGGTTGGTTGCTACCACCACTGATGGCAATCACGAGGTAAACGACCCCTGCCGAGTAGTGGCTTGCTGCTTCTCAACTCTGCTCCTAGCCCGACCCGCTGATTTGGTAGGCAATTCATGGCCTATATCTCTTTTTACACATATGATTACCCCCAATAATCTCCTTCTTTTCACCGCAGCTGTCCATCTCATTGTCTTCAGTATTGGATTAGCTTATGTCGACACAAACTTCCAACGAGTCCTAAACCTATTCCCTGATCTTATCTTTATAGCAGCCTTCTTGGACCGCAGTGTCAGCCGACCACCTCCCGAACAAGACAAAAAGCCTCCCCAGAACACCTTCCCAATCTACACGTTCATCACCGGGGTTGTTCTACTCCTTGTAACCGCGGTTATTCTCTTACTGGTTATTTATAAAGTTGATACCGACTTCATCAACTACCTCCACAAACCCATCAAACAACACATGCATGCACCCCACCACCACTAGTAACCCCATTAAATTAGTCTTGCCATATCTATATCTACTCCTTTCGCAATTTACCATATTAAAGGCGGCACGCTATGGCCAAAAGTATGCCAAAATAGTTTATTATTGGTCGTTGCTGTAGACCAAAGCTATATGGACCAATTTAACCTCAACAAGTATTTAACTATTAGCACAGACTTACCCTATGGCCTGATCATGCAAGCAAAAGATAAGTCAATTAGAAGTGATTTTTTTCCTAATCGGGAAATGACGTAAGCTTTTATGGATCTTTTTTCGTAAACTTTGATGAAATACCGCTCTACTCGGACAGGTATATCTAGCTCGGAACAAGATCGCCAACTATTAGCAGTAGACGTTGACAACAGTTATATTTCGCCTGGTTCAGATTTTAATGATGAGCCGCCACGAACTATGCCCGCAGACAAGACACAAATATCACAAAGATTGTCAGCTTATGCCAAAAAAGGACTGTATAGTGTAGTTTTGTGCGACTCATTCATTATGATTTATCTGGGAGTGGCTAGTTGGTCTGGCATGATGTCGATTTTAGGATTAATGGCTTGGCATGCTCGTCAGGTTTTGATATTAGGAAATAGACCGTATGAACCAGTCAAAGTCCAGCAATGGGCGAAGAACTACACTTGTATATGTATCTTGTTTGCCGTCATCTTCTCGGTAGGGATGTTTTACCACTGGAAACGGCTTAGTGATAAGTGCAAGCGAACTGATTCCCAAAGAAACATTTTGATCCACATATGCTGTAGTCTGGTGGTGGCAACAATAATGCTAGCATTGGTACTTGGCCGTGGTTTAGAGTACTTGCCCCAAATGATGGATTTTGTTGGATCTACATCCCCTTTTAACTTTATTCGTGGCGTTTTGATTGTGTTCGGGTGTGTTTCACTCTTCTGTGCGATTCAGGGCGTGATTAGAGACTGGATAACGGGCAGTGTACGCAGAGCCATCGTAAACCTACTGGTAATTGCTGTGGTCTGTCTATCTCTATTTGCTACTATCCGCTGGGGTCTAGCCATCGCGGAGCAAGTGGGCTTCCATGGGTATATGGCTCGAAACATTAAACCGCCAACTGCTTCAGAGATAAATAAGGCCGAGACACAAGCCAAGAACAGCGAAGAGGCCTATCAGAAACAATACGAGAAGTACAAACCGTACGAAGAAGGCCTCCAGAAGGCCGATGCTGATGTAGCTGAGTTAAAGGAAAAGATCTTGAAGAACCAAAAGCAGATTGTCGATGCCCGCAACTCCCTTAACAATACTGAATCTGAAATGCTCAGGAAGTCTTACCAGGATACCATTGACCAATTGACAAATGAGAATGGGGCCATTCGTAGGGGTGAACTTCTGAAGGCCGAGAAGTTACGGAATTCTATTTATTTGGATCCCGAATGTCAAAGGTTGAGAAATGAGGTTATGCGATTGAAAACCCACCACGAGCAACTAGATGCTGTTTATCAAGTGACGAAGCAGGACTTTAAACTTTCTGGTCAGGGTAACAAGGAGCTTAAAGTTCAATTCGAGACGTTATTCCCAATACACAAGAACGCATCTCAGAACGTTGCACCACAAAATAGCCTACCCAATTCATCTATATCGAATAGCCCCCACGTCCACAATAACCCTACTAACTCAGTGGAAATTCCCAACTAGCCCTTTCGGCTACCACTAAGCAGTATTTGAGGATAGTTGAATTACTCATAATATAATAAACCCACTGCAATGTGCTATTTATCTACATCTTCTGTTGGTGTCTCCATGATTTGACTAAACTTTAGTGGGTAGGCCATGGTAGGTCATTTGAGTTAGTTTGGTGTTGGGTTGGTGTAGTGCCCAATAAGGAAGTCCATCTTAACTAATACATCCTCTGTTAAAGATAGTGCTTGAGATAAGTCTGGGCACCATTTATTGAGTAAATAAGGGTGAGTTGGAATAAGATGACGTCATATTAAGTTAATGCTAGTATTAGTATTGGGTTAGTACTAAGTTATGGGTACTAAGTAATGAGTGCTTACTAGTAATCAGGTCGATCGGGTGGAAAATGGGTAGTGGTCGTATGACGACACTACAATTAGTAATAAAAAGCTTAGTCTTGATGTTCATAGCCATCGTGTTTATTTCGTTTGATCTCTATTATCACCTAAAGAAATAGTTTATTGCTGTCATCTATTGTAGGCTTCAAATACTCGGGTTGTCGTTAGGTTAGAAAAGGCTTCTAGAAGAGAATAGTTAGATCATATGGCTTGGGATCGGAAGAGAAATATATGCTAGCTACAGGCAGAACTGTAGTCAGGCCTTCCAAATTGCTTTCACACATCTAATTGGGTTGGTGATTACTTGAGTGCATAGTTGATGGGTGTTATAGTAATCCGGGTTTAAGTTCTCTGCGAATTGTTAGAATAGACTTTGTCTTCTGAGTTGGAATCAGAAACGTCTGGTAAGTAGCATTAGTAGTACCTTACTCGACGTGCCAGTGCAGATTAACTGTTTAGCCAGATTTGATACGGAAAATAGTGATTCCATCAACGTAATCAAATAATATCCTCCAATTAACCCCAGAAATGGCCATAAAACAAATAGCCCAGGTTAACGCGATCAAAGATAAACCCATAAAAGTAACGGTTATCACAATTTGCGTCCAGCACATTGAAATCTTCCTTGTTTGCTCAAATCTCCTTTTAATACTAAAAAGAGCCGAAAACAAGATAACACTAAACCCAGTTACTCCCAGAATGAACAACACACAAGCAATTACCCCAAACCTAACTTTGGCACCAAGATGCGGAAATCCAAAAGCCAGCAGCAAGAATATAGCGAGACCTATAAGCAGTGCAATAAACATAGATATAGAAATTGGGTTGGTAAATGAGCCAAATCGGTACTCATTGGGCTCAGAAGGAGTATTATGAAGAGCCTTATATGCCAAAAAGGCACAAGTGCCTAGCATAAGCACAACGAAAAGGAACGCAATCCCATACGCCTGAGAAGTGAAACTATTTATCTCATCAGCTGAAAGAGATCGACCCAGCAGACCCAATGGGTTCTTTTTGATAACAGTCGATGTTTTGAGCACAATAACTATCGCTAGCGCGCAAAAGATTATCCAGGTCGCTGTTCCTGTTGACGTAATGATTGTTCGATGTATTCTTTTTCGCTTCTCTCTCGCAGACATGAGATCTAAGTCATTACTGACGACCGCGGCCACAGGTCTTCTGGTATCTATATTGCCAATCTTTCGTAATGGGACTGATTCGTCAGTTTTAGCATTTCTTGATCCTTGCGTCGGTTCATATGACATGCCGTGATGTAAAAATGTAATATAATACCTAAAAAGGAAATTCGAGCAAACCAACTATCTCTAAATCCAATTCAACTCAACTCAATCCAACTCAACTCAATCCAATACAATACTAACCTAACCTAACCTAATACAATACTGACCCGATCAGTTCAACACTACTTCAAGATAACCGATCAAGACACTAAGGATCTCCTCTTTAACCTCCAAACTGTCGAAGTAGCAAACACCCTATCTGTTGCGGTTGATGAATCAGCTGCCAATGCTGTAGCAGACAATCCCGCTTTAATTCAATAGCCAGCACCTACTACACACAACCCTCCCCAACCCGCATAGATTCCTTCTAGAGTGTGTAGGCTCTTTCCCTAGCACACCAAAGCCAAGACGACTATTAAATATCTAACACGGCTTTAATAAACCTATGAGATCTTAGATAATACATAAAAAGTATCTAACTAGCTTAGATTTATTTTAAAAAGATTGTTACTAAATTTCCTAAAAAGGAAATTATACTCGAACTTTTAAAATTTCCTTTTCAGGAAATTATTTGCATATTTACGTCACTTAAAAAAAATATATGATGTTCCGAAAAGACCCTGTTGAGGATGAATTTGGGATGAAGCAGCCATTACTTGGTGTCAATGCAGAAAAATTACCCCGGCCCCATCCATCTGGTGCCGATGCTTTTGATATCAGAACCATTATAATGCAACTTGTCCCATGCAAAACACAAGACATAATTGCTTACATTTCTATGTGTACATGGAATGGTGCAATAATTCTCTTTATCTATGCTACGTTAAGAGCCGGTGATGTGGTTATGAAGTCGGCTGCGCCACACGAGCGTTTTAATCCAGTCGACGCTCGCTCTGAGTTTAGGTGGATGGCCTTCTGGGCTGTTATTGTGGGAGTAATTGGGCTGATTTACCTTATTCGCCGTATTAGAAAGACTGTTTTGGCTAGAGTTGATAGCCACCACAAGAATGTGGCTAAGGGATTTATCATGACTGCTTCCATTCTAGGTGGTGTGGCCATTCCGCTTGTTTTTTGGGGAATTGGTGCTGCAATTGCTGCCATTACCGGTGTAGCTGCTATTACTAGCATCACCTTAGCTGCTGGTGGTTTAATTATGGCTGGGTTTGCACTTGGATATATGATAATTCAAGTTACCATTTCAACTGTCAATAAGGAGAAAAGAAACCAGAACGGCTTAATTAAGAACCGAAAGAACATTGCCTGTGTTGCCATTATTGTGGTTTCTGTAATTGCTCTTCTTATTTGGGCTATCTTATTGGCTCGAGTTGTTGGTCTTAGCTTAGATATGACTAGAACAATTATACCCCCAACTGATGAACAGTGGAAAACTATTACAACTAACTACGCCCAAGCCAAGGCCGCTCGAGAAAACGAACTCCAAACCGCATACAACACTAGCAAAACTGCTGCCGAGACTAAGATCGCCGACACTAACAAACTACTTAGCGAGAAACATGACTTGCTAGCCAAAACCCAGACCGAACTATCCAATGCTGTTACAGATGAAGCCAAGGCAGCCCTTAATACGAAGATTGCCAACCTCAATGCTGAAATTACCAAGCACACTGATACTATTAACCAACAAAACGCTCTCATCAAATCCCTCGGGCCTGATTACCCCGCTACAATCAACAAGCTTTCTACTACTCTACGCAACGCTGATTCTGCCGTGGTCGATAAGACTAGCGCATGGACAGCCGCCACTGATGAGCTTAAAGCCGCTACTGACGCCACTCGGCCAGCACTTCAGAGCAAGGCTGATCAGCTGGAGAAAGCTCTTGACGAGTGCAAGAAACTTGCCGCAGAAGCCAAAGCCAATCATACTTCGGCTACCATAGCCTATGACAAGCTTGTTCATCACGATAGTCTTGCCCTGCAAAAGCGTG